CATATGTAGCAAAGGATATAGATCCAAGGATTCATGGATTAGGTTAAGGCTTGGAGAAGAGTCAAAAAAAAAGAAGTCAAAAACGCCAAAGAAAGAAAGAAAAAAAGAAAAGAAAAGAAAAGAAAAGAAAAGAAAAAGAAAGTCAAGAAATCCGGGCCAACGCATCCGATTCCATGTGGTCCCGGTGCACTTCCGAAGTCGATCATCCAGGGCTTGTGCAGAGGTGCAGAGAGGGGCGAGATCTTCGTGGACCACGTATCCTCTTTCCCTTCCCTGTTTTCTTCATAGTCGTATTATCGTATATTAACTATTAACTATTAAGTCTACTATTAACAGGTGGTAGATATAACACTTCCCTATTAACCAAGTGGGACGAGTTCTTTATAGACTATGACTGTCGATCTCGGGCTCACTTTCATTCTAATATCAGTATAAATAAATGTACAGATGCATTATTGTCCGTAAAGGGAAAACATTGAGTATCTCGGGATCTGACCCGTTGAAGATTCCTTAAATCGCATACGTTGGCTATGGGACACACTGATGGAGTTTGGTAGATCGTAATACTCTTCGTCGATCTATAGTTCGCTTTTTTTAACTCTTTTTTTTCTTTTTTCTTTCTTTCTTTCTTCCTTTTTCCTCTTTTCACTCTCGTTTTTCCCTTGAACGTTGATTTTACATTCCCCGATCTCCCTTTCGTCACCGGATTCTTTGATCTTCATCTTTCCCAACCTCGGTATTTGCGTACACGATCATCCCGGGCCTTTAGGCTTGTTTCTTTTTCTTTTTCTTCCTCTCTTTTTGGTTTTATTCTATTCCTATTTTCATATCTTCCTATCTTCCTATTTCCCTTTTCTACATCTGAACAATGGCTTCGCAGTCTCTATTCAAATAGCATCCAGGGAAATCGAAATCTTGAATGCGCTTTAGAACTGTGGCGATAGCCCTTATCTAAAGTCGCCTCTAAGATTCTCACCCCGACTTCTTCCTTGAATTTGTTTCCATCATATTTGCTATATTTACTGGAATACCAACATGCAGCCTGCTCCTTTTCGTGGTAATCAAGGCTACGAACTGCCACCCGTGCAGTCGGTAACGTCGGGCGCATTCCCGGCTCCCGCGCTGCTTTCCGCTCCGCCGAGCAGACCTGACAGCGGGATGCGAATGTCTCATTTACTGCAGCCTATACCCTCGGCTGTGCCTGGGACATCACCCTACCAGCGATTTTATGACTCGGCCTCTGGTTCACCGGGTGACACCGCGCTTCCCGATGCCCCACCAATGACCTCAGTTCCAGGTCTTTACCAAACCAGTCCCGGACATGGACAACAGACCGCCGCCCAATTACAGCAGAAGCGCGCGTATCGCCAGCGTAGAAAGGATCCTAGCTGCGATGCTTGTCGCGAACGCAAGGTCAAATGCGACGCATCGGAGTCGTCCAGTTGCACTGAATGTAACAATCGCAGGGTTCGCTGTCAGTTTACCAAAGAGACGAACCGCCGCATGTCGTCGATCAAACAGGTCCAGGATCTGGAGAAGCAGTTGCAAAGTACAAAACAGCAATTACAGCACCTGCAGACGGGCATGATGCGGCCGGATCGCATGGTCGATGTTGATGAAGGCGTCTCGCAGCCGATGATCAAGTTGCCCGAGATTGAATATCAGCCAGTGCGCCGTTTGAAGGCGCCTATCCCACAGGATCTCTCCGATGTGCGGTCTAATCTCCGCTATTACGGCCGTGGAATCTTGAAGGTGCCCACTCCGTACCGCCAACAGGGTGCAGAGTCATTGGTGACTGGAAATGCGCCGGAGCTGCCGCCGAAGGATCTAGCAGATCATCTCCTAGCCCAGTATTTCGGTTGCATTCACTCGGTGCTTCCGATACTTCATTGGCCCATATTCATTGCAGAGTATGAAAAGGTTTATCGGTCGGGGTCGTTGTTAGGTGTCTCGACTGAATGGGCGGCTGTGCTGTTTGGTGTATTCGCATGCGGTGCGATCCACACGAACGAGGGGAATCGGGAAGAAGAAGGAAAGAAATACGTACGCACATCCTGTGGGATTATTGATGTTTGGCACGACAACTTCAATTTGGATCGGGCTCGTGCGGCGCTGCTGGCAAGTATTTTTCTCTACGAGGTCAATTCGAAGTCGGCTAGTTGGGTGTGGATTGGCTCAGCGGTACGTGTGGCTCAAGAGATTGGGCTGCACATTAACTCCGGACCGTGGCCTGTAATCGAAGGGGAGATGCGGAAGCGTGTTTGGTGGGGGTTATACGCCTGGGACAGATTACTCGCGCTTGAGATGGGGAAGCCGGTGTTAATCAATGACCAGGATTGTGATATCGATCTCCCATGTCCCGTGGACGAGCAGTACATCACAGAACGAGGCGACATGCCAGAGAGTCAGCAAACTACGCCCTTGCTCGCTACGGTTCACGTCGTCCGGTCCCTCGGCCAACTCACACACACCCTGCGCTCAGCAACCATCAGCCCGGCCACCTTGGAGACCTTCGAACAACACTTCAACACCTGCCTCGCAACATTCCCCTCCCAATTCCACCCGAAAACCGACCAAGACCTCGACCCCCGCTCCCTCGCCCCGGTAATCTACCTTCAAAACGCCCGCCTACTCCTCCACCGCCACAACATCTCCCCCTTCTGTCCCGATATCGTCCGCACCTCAGCAATGGACTACTGCGTCTCCACAGCCCTCGACACAGCCAATATCCTCGCCCGCTGCATGCGCAACTACCCGACAAACCCGGGACCCCAAAGCACCAACGATCCCCGCACCCACTTCGCCTCTAGCGCAGGATCCCTCCTCTGCACACACATCTGGCGCTGCACGCTCCTCCTACTCTTCCGCGGCGAGTACGCCGGCGCGCTAGCCTGCGTACAAGCCCTCTCATCAATCGGCGATATGCGCACCGTCAACGCAGCCAGCGGGCGATACCTCGCCTTCTTCCTACGACGTCTCCTCGTCCGCATCCGCCCGTCTGAGGGCCACATCCCCGATCTCGACCGCGACGAAGAAATGATGGCTTATGTCTCGGGCGATATGCAAGGGACCACCGACGGCAGCTGGGTATGGCACGGCTCCGAGACAGGATCTCAATTGGAGGGGATGGGGATGGGTGTCTCGACGCCGACGTCCTCTCACCGTCGGACGGAGATGGAGACGGATGTTGAGTGGGAGGGGTGGCATTGGATTGAGAAGACCGTGCAGGATCTCTTTACCGAGCAGCATCAGCAGCAGCAGCATCAGCATCAGCAGCAGATGGCTTATGGACGGGATGTCCCGATGGGACAGCCGAAGCTGGAGGCTTCTTCTTCTACTTCTACTACTACTCTAGCCCCGGAATCGGCTTCTGATACAGACAGACGGTCGAGTTCGGCGCATTCACGCATGACGATTGCTAGCATTATTTGAAGCGGTGTGTATATATTCTGGTTTTCTTTTTTTTCCCCTTTTATGTTTTTTTTTGCATCAAGCACACGCCGGATTTCATATGCGATTTTTTTTTCTCTCTTCGTTTTATGCCTCCAATGCTTCCAACGCCTTCGACTACGTTACCAATCATCGCATCTATGGATATCACTGCATCGCTCTATCTGGGGTGTATGTATATGGATCTAGACCGGGTCTAGAGCTACAAGTTTTTATAACTTCCTTGCAAATATTGCATTGCCGATACCCATGCCCAAGTACTTGTTTATAGCCTTGTTATCTTATTCTGTATATATTTACAAACATATTGGATTCCCACTGTTTCGCCTTGTATTTGTTTCTGTGTCTTTATTTAGCTGCATGAAACATAAAAAATAGTCGACCGGTTATGCAGCCTCATGATGTCTTTTTAGACGTAGAGGAAGAAAGACCCAGGGTAGGCTGACTCTCATGGTCACATGGAAAACTATATATTATGTAGCAGATTTTTTAAAATGATTGATTTCGAGATACATTGCTACATAAACAACTCCTAGGTGAGAGATAGAGAACAGAGTGGATGTCATCATAAGAGACAACAAGAGACAACAAGAGACAACAAGAGACAGCAAGAGACAGCAAGAGACAGCAAGAGACAGCAAGAGACAGGAACAGCAAAAGATAACAACAATAGAATGGAACCATCAAAAAGAAGGAACCTTGTAGAAAAAGAAAAGCGTCCTCAGAAAGATCTTCGGACAAACAGAGAGCTATCTCTGTGGGATGAACAAAAAATTGGCTCAAAGAGCATGTAGAAGATATGAGACCAGAGGCCCTTGGTTCGGCTCCTGGCGGCCAACGGGAGCACCCAAGCTAGTACAGTCTGTTTCCGCAGCGGTGCATAGGAGTGTCTCGACCGAAGCCCATTCCCGTTGCCTCCCAGACATGCTTCGTGCCATTCGCAGCCTAGCGAGGGCCGCCTACAGAGACCCGCCAGAGTCATCAGGATAACCCGATCACTTGACAACAGCATCAATATGTTGAATAGAGACCTGAAGCCAGAACCCAAGGTCAAAAAATTGAAGGGTACTCAACAGGAACCACGATGTGCAATGTGGACCCGGAGTGGTGTGGAGAAGGAAAAAGAAGAAGAGAGAGAAATTGGGGGGAGGGGGTATTTATACCCTCTCAGTGGCTTAAGGCAAACAGGGAAAGTGCGGCAGGCGAGTTTTTGGCCGAAAAAGGAAGGAAGGACAAACAGCCAAACTTAGGGATTATTTACGATTAACCTTGGAACCATGATTGTATTAATCAGATTAATTCAACCTTGGAAAGACTATGTGTAAGCCATCAGAATCAAAAGGGGCTTTTTCAAGATGAGTGAAACGAGGCGTACACTGTCCAATCAGCCTCATCCCGCAAGGCTGCTTTTGATATCAATTAGACTTAAAGTTTCCAACGGGTTTATCCCTGGACCCGCTGCCAAGCTCATCCGCTAGGTCAGCAGAAGAAGAAAAGCTGAGAATCCTAAGACTAATAAATTGGAACTAGAACAACAGACGTCCCGATTCTCAACGATCTTCTTCGTCCCGGGAAATTAGGTGGTAGCCGTTGGCTTGCAACTTTCTAATTCTCGTTGTTAGCTCTGTAGGCTCATACGAATCGACAGCCTGCGCGGCCCGGATTGGAGCCTTCTGAAACTCGGTGCCAGCAATAGGTATCTGCTTATGAATTCGTAGAAATGAGAGTTCATTTGAGTCGGTAGGGGTCGTAGGGCGACAAAGAAACTTCCCAGCCACGTATGCTGGGTCAAGACCACTAGTGACGTCTTCCTGAGTCACAAATCGGACGCGCTCGTGTATTTTTTGAACAATTTCCCATTTCGTACGGCCAATATCCAAGGGAGAATTTGGTGATGGAGTGAGGGTAATGGTGGTCCCCTCGAGGTAGGTCAGGATTTCAGGTGATGGTGACGACATGATGGTGATACTTGAGATGTGAAGATGATGGAAGGGAAGTAGATGGTAGAAGGGAAGTAGAAGGGAAGTACATACTACCTAACTAGGTACTTGATTTCCTCTGCCACTTCTTGGCCTTCCATTTCCGTTTTAGTGCTCAGTCCTTGCCGCTTTTTGCTAACTGAGCATGCTCTGACTAAAGATTCACCTACCCCTAAACTAGCGGCTAAGAGATCTGCCAATTTTCTTCGGGTTCAACTCAGATTCACTTCAGACTCACTTCAGACTCACTTCAGACTCACTTCAGATTCAATTTACTTTAGAATCCCTATACCCATTTAGAAGGCATTGATTTTATTAACCTTATAATCCAGGTATTTAGACATCTTTAAGCATCGCCAGGCTTCAATTAATAACTACAACATCAATGGATTTAAATTACTGCTGGCAATATAACCAACGACAGAGTTATGTGCCATATATATATATACTTAGTCGCCCGTACAGCACCACAAGCAAAGGTTTCACCTTTCCCTCGAGTAAGTCAGACTCGAAGATCAAGTACCAGTACATACTACGCCAGTTGTACTAACGAAGATTTTGTTAGGACTCCACGATGGTCCAACTACGCGCTACTGAGTCCTGATGTCGTTCAGAGTGCTCTCCCCCCACTCTATATTAGCCAGCATCATACCACGTCATCGGCTTTGCATCCTATCAGTTTCGTCGGGCCTTGGAGAGAGTGGCCAAATTTCGACCGCGAGATAAAGAACTTCCATACAAATCAAGGTGGTCGAGAACTGTGATCGACCACAAGTTAGTCTCGCGGGATCTCCACCGCGAGAAGGTGCAGGTCGGCGACGAACATGGTGTCCAAAGCCGTTTCCAACAATCGGTAGGGCAGATGGTTGGAGAGGCCCTGGAGGCCCAGCATATCGATATAAGTTTCAGGGATTTCAAAACTTCGGGTGTTGCTTACAATAATGTCCCGGACGTTGCCCTCATCGCAACAAACCCGTCCATCCACCCTAAGCCCAAAGCTATAGGAGAGGTATGCGGAAGCTCCTAGCGCAGCCAATTCAGTACATGGTGAAACTCGACGCTAAGTACGGATGGATCCCAACATATGACGAGTCGATATTTATCCGCCAGGTATATGACAACAATTCCTGGAGAATAGAGTATTCCCCTGTCATTGCGTCTGACACAAAATATACTCCGACGGATGATAATTGTTGGGTGCCGGGTGCCTGAATGCCTGGGTGCCTGAGGCTGAGGACCCACATGGGACAGATCCACATGGTTTCTCTCTCTCTCTCTGTGGCTTGGGGTCCGATCACATACAAAGAAGAGCCACATATCTGTGTAGGAAGGGCGGATTACAGCTTTTTCTTTGGAGAAAGAGATTACCTGGTTTGTCATGTCATAATGATTGAAGCCAAACAAGTAGGCGGGGATGGCCATGGCCAACCTTTGGCATATATGGCTATGGTACAGGCAAACCGGAAGAAACGTGGGCAGTCGGACTGGACCGTTTATGGGGTGCTTAGCGACGGGGAGATCTTCACGTTCTACCACTTGGATATGAAGAGTCAGTTTACGCTTGCTTTCCTGCAGGTGCAATGTGAGGGGTGGCAAAAAATTGCCAATATGCTCGCTTCCTTCATCCTTGAAGGAATGAAAACTTGTGCTTCGCCTATACGATCAAGTTTGGCGAGCGATCCTTCTCCTCGGAACTCTCACCAGCAGCCGTCACCTAAACTTCCTCCGCTTGATACTCTTCCATCAATTGAAGACATGATGGAGATGGGGATGGAATGATAAATGTCTTGATGCTGTGCTTCACGAGCTGACCAAGAAAGGACCTCGTTATATCATTAACTGGCACTACCTACAGTCATGTTTCATTAGTATTTGTACCCCAGTACTCCTTCTCTCTTCCCTCTCCCTGTCCACTTCTTATATCGTGAATCTACATGCATGGTTTCTCCATAAATTATAACTCAATAGATTCCACAATAATAATACAGCCCTCGCCGCAAAACAGTGTTACTTTTTCCTGTCGGTGTTAGAAACGCCCACGGTCCTGTGAGAAACAGTACTCATATCTTGGACAGGTGAAAGCTCTCCCGTTATTCACGACCTAACTCTGTCCATTCCTACAGGCAAGATTGTTATGGTCGTGGGTTTAGTCGGGTGTGGAAAATCCGCTCTTCTACGATACCCATAGATTAAGGAACTTGGCCTTGTGGGAAAAGCGAATGGTGGAAGTTGAAAGGTACAGAAAAGGAATTTATGGCTAGTTCCTCCCACCAGCGATGGGGGAGTGACAACTGCAGAGCGTGAACCAATGTAAGGGCTGGAGCTATACATACTGCGCAATTCGGATTCGGATCAGCCGTTGGGCGCGATAAGATAACCGTACAAGTCAGACATAGTCAGATTTAGTAGTAGCAGAAAATCAGAGAAATAGTTGTGATGGAACAGGAAGCAGGAGAGAGAATCAGTTCATGCAGCAATAGAGGTCTCAGCTAGGCCCTGGGAACGTCCTTGTCACTTCTGTATATAATAAGACAAAATAAGAACATGATTCGGCAAGCCTGAATTCACCGTAACCTAACACAAGCATGAAAGCGAAGTAAGAACTTAAAGTGTTTATATCTCGCTTCCTGTCTCGATTAGGAAACTAGAATGTGACCTCGGGATCTCCACATGAACCGAGTACCCGCTAAATAAGAATTTAACCCACTCTACGCCCCGATTGCCCGATACAGAAGATAGGCGATCATAACAAGGCATGGATACACGACGAAGCCAGATAACGGAAACTTTCGCCAGATACTTCTTTCTCATCATTCCATACCACCGTAAATTTACTTCACGGCTTTCTGACGCTCTGTGAGTTCCATAATGACATCCTTCCCGCATCCCAATGGCACGTTGTCTTTCTGACGTCGTGAGTCGCAAGAGCTCGACAACTTCCGGTCCACGCCAGACCTTCCAGACGAAAGCGACATAATTATCATAGGCGGAGGGTATAGTGCAGCAGCACTAGTCACACATATCCAGAAACAATATCCTAATCACCCATCGATTTTGGTTCTCGAAGCTCGTCAGCTATGCTGTGGAGCATCTTGGGGTTCCAGGAGCTGAGCCTCTCAGTCATAGCGGCCTTCAGGAATCTGTTTTTGGCCGTTCGCTTAGAGAGGGTCAGCTAGAGAGGCCGTCCCAACACTGACTGATCTGAGACTGGTCTATCCTGCCCATATCGTTGCTCGGCCATGGTATGCTGTTAGGTAGGCAGCGGTCAAGAGGGGCGTGAGAAGGATGATGGAGAGACAGTCTGTGGATGTTGTTTTAGTGTTGTTAGGGCTCAATTGGATCTCGACAAAAAGAGTCCCGGACAGCGTAAGAGCGAGCAACTATGACTTTGATATCATGTAAGAAAATTGCGTGGAGAACAGGCCTTCCTTGCGATCCGAAACAAAACTGCGTCCATGACCATTCCCTTTATTGCTCTGCTTTCTTGGGAAAGTCCCGAGTCGCGAACTCTACTTTCTGCAGGTCTACAGTGATTATAAATCTGGCCTTCAGCAGGCTTGCCTAAAAGGGCTGTACGCGAGGTGGCCGAGATGTCAATCTGCTATTGGACTGGCCACTCGACACTCCACCATTCAGCGGGGAGACGTGGGGTAGCTTAGCCGCGGGACTCAGGCTTTTGTACTGTGTTCTTTTCACTAAGGCGATACTGCTACCTAGGTAGCTGGAGACTCTTTCTTGACGACCTGGTTTAGTCCAACTGGACGCGCCAGACTGTGGGTATTCATTAATAAATCAATTGTGTTCGATCTAAGCTCACCTTACCGTCATGCAGTATCACTGTGCACTTGGAGAATACTATGGACCCCGATAAGGATGTTGAATTGTATATGTGTGAAAACCCCGATGGGGCCCCTGATAGTGTTCTCCGAATGTATGTTCACTTGCTATCATTTGAATCGAGCTCATCAGCATTTATTCAGGCACTCCGACTAGAATAGAAACCAAGCGGTCAATACTGAGAAGTCAGAATACTCTTTTTATAGTTATATCTTAGATTAAGCTAAAGTGGACTTTCTCTATTAAAGGTATAGCTCTCAGGTGTTATTGGTATTTCTGGCCCTTCTCGGGAGGATGGACATCCCCAGAAGTAAAGCTACAGTGCCCTATAGGACCATCAATCGAAACCGACCCCCATTGAAGAGGCAATAAAGCCATATCCTTCTCCTCGTCTTCGGACTCCATCTCCACAGGTTCAGGCTTATCCACATTAGGGTTGTATCCGGGATGACACGCCGCAGCAATGGCCAAGCTGCAGCTCCCCGCCACTGGCATCGTCGATTCAAACTGCCGGAGACTTAAACCGATCAAACAAATAAACATGACAGCTCCTATTGAAGTCGCAATCACAATGGCTAGGGGCGAATACCCACAGGCATACACGTCGTGCAGGGGGTCCCTTTCCATATGCGTGTTGTACGCTTCAATAGCAATGATGAACAGACTCTGTGAAACAAGCCAGTGGAGAACAGCCGAGGTCGCCATGAGTGGCACTGCATAGCGGTACGGGAGGGAAAGGAAATAATTGCTTCGCTGGGATAATCTAGGGTTATGAGAGACGCGGAGGCCCTTGCGGTGGGAGCCGAAGCGGCTCCATTCGGCGGAAAGACACATCGAGGTCAAGATACTGTTGTATGCCACGTAAAGGAATGAAAAGATGAGTTGTGGCAGATTGGCCGTGATCGAGTTGGTGACGAATCCTTGACTATCACCAGTGCTGATGATTGTTTGCGAATTGATGTCTCCGAGCTTTGTCTTCCAAATGTCTATACCGATTGTGTTAGACAATCCAAACTTAAGCATAACGAGTCCAGCTATGATAGATAGCAACCACCTAAGTCAAACGTCAGCCTCAGCGTAAATTGGAAATAGAGACAATTGCAAACAAGGACGGAACGCACCAAAAAATAAAAAATCCCCAACGAGTAGAGATACTAGAGCCCCATCGTCTCCGTTTACCAGTGTACACGGCAGGATGACGCAATTTTCTGTTTTTGAGTGACGGAAGTTTCGCGTAAACCGGGTGTGTGTATATTGCGCTGCCGTCAGATGGCAAACACATGCCCAGTGAGTAGAGATCACTGCGGCGTAGGAAAGAGGCAATTCCATCACCGACAGTCAGGAGAGGGGGAGAGGCATTCCAAGCCATATGTATAACAGGATTACTGTCTTCACGAGATTGGCAACAATGACGGCGACCATCGATGGAGGCGAATACTGCAGGCTGCAATGCTGCGTTGCTGGTTCTGCCAGACAGTGCTGAATGTTGTAACTAGCGGATGTCATATAGCCCGGCTGGACATTCACGGTCCAATTTTTGTTTTCAGCCCATTTATGAACAGCAGGAGTTCCGTTCTCCTTGCAGACTTGCTGTGAACCACCATCTGAGGGGCAGACCCATGGGTAGGGAAGCATAGGTTTCTCGATGCTATTATCTTTGGGCTGGTACACAGGGTTCGTGTAGACGAGTGTGTATGAATTATTATCCTGGGCATATTCCGTTGCCAAGAGAAGCTTGCTATATGATGCTTGGTAAGTCTGTGCAAAGGCAGCGACACAACTAGCACTGTCCAAATGGCGTAATGACCCGTTCTTTGCGGCCTGGAGGAACGTTTTGAGAGAGTCGCCCTTGTCCGAGGTCTTGGATATGGAGTTCAACTGCAAATCTGGCCACTCCATCTGATGCAAGGACCCAGGACCAGCGAATACCTCGTATGCTGGGACTGCGGTCTTGTAGTAAACGGTGGAGTTGTAGAACAGATGGAAAGGAAGAGACGAGAAACATAAACATAGCCATAGAAATGAACGTTTCCAAGATATACGGAATAGATTTCGAACACTTGGTACGCCAATATCGAGCCAGCTGCCTTTTCTGTGAGCCCTATCGACATCCTTTCTAGTCGGAGCTATCAAGCATTGCTGCACAAATCAAACAGTTAATTGAGTGGACTGTATTTGGGAAACATATGAGAAGTCTGGCCTTCATACCATTCCGAAGTTACTTGCACTTAGTACACCAGTACCCAACACGTTAATTAACCAGTGCATTGCTTTGGCCCAACGGTGCACCTTGTCACAATCTCCCTTCACAATAGTCATTCCATCTCCATTGCGAGTACTAGTGGCTGAATAAATGAGAAATCCCGCATTGAAGAAGAATACGACCACGTTCGACGTGAAAGCCAGAAACGCCGTGAACTTCCAACCTCTAAAAAGACCCCTTCTTTGGCGACCGAATGTTTCTTGTTTCGATCGCGGCTCATATTCTAGAGATTTTCTTTGGGGCTCTCTCTCTGAGTCTTCCTCGGATAGGGTGTAAATTAGGCGATCGGAGCTTCGATAGCTTCTGGGGATCGGACTCAACTCGGCATCATGTCCGAGCAAGACATTGTCGAACATCTTGTTGAGAAAGGTTAACCGGGGAAAAGTATGAAATTTGTTCCTATAAAGCCATGCGACTATTGTTTTAGATATAGAGGTGGTTGGGCCAAAGTAAAAGGAAGAAGAAGAAGAAGAAGAAAGAAATAGCAAGTCAAGCGAGGCCAGGCTCTTAAGAATTGTGGATGAAGTGCTTTTGGCAACCACATCGCACGATCGTCCCGTGCAAAGGGGAAAAACAGGATAGATCTGTTTTGGACCCCTGTCGGCATTTTACGCTTGCGCAGAAGGGTGGATTGCAGTCTGGGGCGAAGTCTGGGGGCGAAGAGAGAGAAACCCAATCATATCTCCCATAAATTGCCCTGATGCCTGGGCCCCTCAACTTCAGGTAGGCTTCCGCAAAGCCCAAAGCCCAACCCCCGGCCCATCGTGGGCTCCCATTGGGCCCCCACGGAAGCCCACGATTGCATAAAAAGCTGGTCTTGGCATTCATAAACCCACTGAGTCATTAAAATAAATGACTGTTTTTTACAACTGTTCTGGTTTGTGTATTGAATATTGCTACATTTTCACTAGAATAAGTTGGAAATTTTATGAAAATACTCTGAATATAAGGCTGGTAGTCTTTACATCTATTAATTGCCAATAAAAAATCGAAATTTATTATCTTATGGTGGTGTTATATCAATTCGAGCATTTGTTGACTACAGACTGCTAGAAATATATATTTGTGGTACAGGGAAGTATGTATGTACTCCAGAACAAATGTAAATGTAAATAGAAATATCCCATTCTTACTTTGTTTTCTATATAATTAATATTAAAAGAAAGCCCTTTTTCTCTTCTCTTTTATCCTTATTTAATATATATAATAACTTACCTAGTGCGCGAATTGTGGACGTTTATATAGATCCCTCATCCGAAGAGATTCCTCTTCAATCTAGGTCAATTTCTATAGGTTAACGCGAGAAATCGCGTGGTTTTGTATGCCACGGAGGCGTATAGCGAGAGTTGAATTCGGTATATTAAACCGGCGGGCGGTTTCACGAATTGAAGAGATTTCTTTATTCTTAAAAGCCTAGATAGCTAGTAAGATCCTACCCTCTTGCTCTATTGAATTTTTAGAGCTCCGGGAGCGTATTGGTGGCATGGTGGGTAGTAGAAGGAGAAAGGGGTTAAATTAATTAACGCGTTTTGGGTGGGTGTCCAGCTATGGGGTGTGTCCAGCTATGGGGTGAAATACGTTATGTAGTTAGGTACTCCGTACCCGTGGGCCTACCCGTCCAAACTGACTCCGCAAAAGTGTTAATACCCCCTTCTGCTACCGCCTTCTTAATTAGACATACCCTTCTTAATTAGACATACCGCCAATTAGTCAGTTGTTTTCATTGGTGTCCAGGTGGATACTTAACCGGCAGAATCTGGGGTTGGAGCATCAGGTCATGTGACCTGCATGGCAGGCTAGTACCTGCATGCTTGTCTCCTTCTATCTCTCTCTCTGCATCTTCTCTCTCCTCTCTCTCCTCTCCCGGTTCTCTAGTTCTTTAGTTTCTATCAATATAACGTTTCCACAACTCCCTGTTCTCTATCCGCCGACAGTTAGCAATTTTCAAAAGAGTGAAGCTATTGTTGAACTCCCATGCATGCATGCATGTTGTTTGCTACAATTGAGCAATGTTCAGATAGTTTCTACAGGGTATATAAGCCCCTGCATTTCTAGTTTTACCAATTAAGAATTCTTGCTTTGCTTTCTCCCACACACATAGTAGTAATCTACTATAGATTGCATCAGCTATTCCCGCTATACAATCTCCATATTCTCGGCGTTGAAGCTGCTGCGACCGACCAAATCTGAGGAGGTATTTTGTGCGATCCAAAATAGTTTTCAACGCTTGACATTCGAAAAACAGATGATTTGTTGGATGGGAGTAGCCCTGGAGGTTCAATTCACAGTACAACATACACGGTATAGAGCGGTGTCGAAAGCGGTCTAGAATTCAGGCACATTGGCTTCAAGCCTGAAAAGTCAGGCATTTAACCTTTGGCGCTTGGGCTGCATCCATGGATGATCCAGCATTCGATGGCCACCATAGCTCAACTTTGTCGTGGCACTGTTTCATTGCCATTACTTTCTCAAGACCCTGATTATACCGAGGTCGCAGGAAGGATCCTGACTAAGAAGGAATCCAAAATTGTTGCTCAAACTAGACCTAAGGAGGGTGAACTACGAAATTTACTAGGTAAGTCTCCTCGTGCTCGTAGTATATACTCCTTTACTTACACAGCTCTAGGTCAAATTGCAGACTATATGGATGTAATGAATTTGAAGTATGGTCTCCTTACGACTTACGAGGAGACATTGTTTCTCCGACAGACTGTGGTTGGCGGGGTATGGACACTGGAATTATCCCCTGTGAAGCGCTTTCCGATACTTATACCAGTGCTGATCCTCAGTCTGTAACGGTGAGGCAGTGCTTTTGGTATCTAGGGAAGTTAGCTTTGAAAGTTGCGCGGTTCAATCGCTCCGGGGGCTCCCAACTTTATATATAGTTACTGTTTACCAGCAATTCGTTTTAACCGAGGGATCTATAAAGATTGCAACAAGTGCTCTGCCTACTGCTTCGGCAAATACGACAACGTCATCAACGAAGGATACTTCCGACTTTGCTTCCAATAATCGTTTCAAGAAGAAGGATGAAAAGGCTCAGCATGACAAGTCAAAGGATTCATCTAATTCCACATCTACTTCTAAAGAAAAGAGACAACAGAAGACAACGTGATTTATTGCAAGTTCCATAACTCGCTTGGTAATCACCATGCAAAGAACTGCTTTCTGAACAAGAACCCAGGGCATCTGCAATTTCAGGCATCAAAACTGGTTTTCAGATACCTTGCCGGGTCCAGGCACCGATCATGAATCTTTGATTGGCTACTGTGACGCAGACTGGGCCGGGCCCTACAGCGACAAAGGACTTTCCACCTCTGGCTTCATCTTTAAGATGGCCGGTGAACCTTACGGTGCAGGATTCGCGGAAATCGACGAGGAATTGATCCTGATATCAGCCTTTGCTGCCACCCTAGTCAAGCAGATTATCGCCGATCTTGCTCGGCCTATGCTCATTATTTCCACTTTGGGTCGAGGACATTATCACGGACGGGTAACGCACATTCGTCGCCCCCATCGCAAATAGCACTAGTGTCGAGTCGAACCCATACATAAAAGACTCATAACTAGCTAATCAGATATTCGTCATTCCCTTGCGCGTATTCGATAAGACGGAAAACCGATCGTGTTAGAATTAATAAAATGGCAATACAAAGCCCTCAAATAACGGACTCCCAGCTCCAAGTATTGTGCAAGGCCATTCATTGTCTTGTCTGGCTTGAATTCTCTGCTGGGTGGGTTTGTAGCGGGTGCATATATAGAATAAAAGAGACGCGAGAAGGAAAGATGTGAAAAACACAAGTTGAACACAGAGGTCAGCAACAGTGCTTTGTTAGCCCGTCGTCATTGAGCTGATAGTATCACATAATCCGACAGTAAAAAGACGGGAACCTAATTAGGGTAGATCTGCGCCGTTGCCGTGTTAGATACGGAGTATACTCCGTACTCCGTACTTGAAGAAGAATTAAGTTAGTTCAAACAGAACAACCAACCAAAACAGGGAAATGATAGACAGGGTCCAATTGAAGGATATATGATGGAGAAGAGATCGCCATCTAACCGTTTGTTAATGAGATATGGATTCAGGTCCCCTTGAAAAATTCCCTGGGAGACTTCCAACATTGAAAGGCTGTAAAAAGTAAGCTAGCCAATCAAGAAGACTCCTGTTTTTATATCACCTCTACAACGCTACCTCTTAGGATTGGGAATTTAGGGAATTTAGGTATTCTAGGCCTTAGATATATACATAGGTAATAAGGCTTATAGCGTGCCCATGTGGGCAACCTTGGAAGTCTCCCGCCCGAGTGGATCCACCCTCCACCCCTTAATAACTGACCCACCATGTCTCATCAAGTTGCAACTAGTTAGTTAGTTAGTTACTCCGTTGTTGTAGACCATAATCACATGAAATGACTCCATTTTAGCCGGATTGAAGCTACTAGGTTGGCTAAACTCGCCCGTCTTGTACGGAGTATATACATCATTGACGCTGAATGTCTCACCTGTCAGATGTTACACTTCGAAGCGAATAGCCTCTTTACTATACTTTAGGATAAGATTTACCACATAAACTCGACAAGACCATTCAATTGGCCATTCAATTGACTCGGTAGTCCAGTAACCGCGATCTACATCGGTCCTGCAGATTTCAGCATCTTTGTCTCAACCTGAAGCTCTGCGACATGGCCGGGGCGTAGAGTTAAGATGCCACAAGAACAACCTCCTTTTGTCTCGCATATTACATCATTGATATAGCCAATCAAACAGCTATATGAAAAGATAGCAAGCCGCCTACAAAAATATATAAAGGCCACTCGAGTCGCCTCTCAATCTCACTCGCAAGCTCATCAACTCATCAAACTATCAATTCAAGAACGACTAGCCTTAAAAGTCCAAGCATCTCAATTTCGCAATGAAGACCACTCTGATCCTTGCTCTTGCCGCTGCTGCTGCTTCTGCTCAGGAGCTCTGTGAACAGTATGGCGTTCACAGCGAAGGCAAATACATCGTCAACAACAACATGTGGGGAAAGGACTCGGGCACCGGCTCGCAGTGCACCACCGTCGACGGCATCGCTGACACCGGTGTTTCCTGGCACACCAAGTGGTCCTGGTCCGGCGGCGAAGGCGAAGTCAAGACCTACCCGAACTCGGGCGTGGAGCTCGACGTTAAGCTTGTTAGCGAGCTTAAGAGCATCAAAACCTCCGCCAAATGGGGATACGATAATAGCGATATCAACGCCGATGTTGCCTACGATCTCTTCACCGCAGCTGACAAGAATCACGAAACTTCCGGCGGTGACTATGAGCTGATGATCTGGTGAGATCTCTTCAGTTGAATATTTATGTAAGAGTGTCTTTTTAGCTGACGGTTCTCTAGGCTCGGCCGCTATGGAACCATCGCTCCTATCGGCAAAAAGCTCGACTCAGTTGACGTCGGTGGAAAGACCTGGGAGCTCTGGAATGGCATGAACGGCGATATGAATGTCTACAGCTTCGTTGCTGCGGACCCCATCACCACATTCGCCACCGACATCAAGGAGTTCTTCAACTACTTGGTCAAAAGCCAATCCTTCCCTGCTGACTCCCAATACCTGATCAGTATGTTTCTCTCTATTGTTCCTTGCCTTGGATATTATTTATTAATGGTGATAATCTTAGACTTGCAATTTGGTACTGAGCCCTTTACTGGCGATGCCACTTTCACTGTCTCCAACTGGGAAGCCACTGCCATTTAAATGGGAGATGCCGCTGGTTTTAGGAGCTTGTGGATGTGCTGAACTAAACGTGATAAATCCCGAAAACTCCGTTTATACTCGTTCGGCGCCACGAGAATTTGGTTTAAACTCACTTTGAAAAGCTGGCTTGGCATTTGAGTTACAGATTTTGTTCATCATGCAATATTATTGTTTCATCGGTTTTAGAGAAGCAAAACAATGCACTTGTTCTAAAATCAAATCATTGAAATTTTCCAACGAAGGATTGTGCAGTTAATACCCGCCAGCTTTAGTCTTGGTAGAGATAGATAGGATATTAGACCAAGTTCGCCCAATACACAAATACACGCACACACATACACACGGTATATTGCAAGTGGCATTCCAGCACGGGCCATAGCAGAGACGGCATCTAGATCTGCAATGAAGAAACCCAACACTCCTGAAACAATTGCCTGTGACATCTCTAGGACCCAAAACACGCGAGTGGACCATCACCCCAAATAATTTTCTGTGCCAAGCCGGAGGGAAAGAAAAAAAAAAAAGATCTTTATAAAACTTATTAAACTGAATCTATATATTAATGCCTATACAATGATATGATACCCTACATGGGCAGCTATCTACTCATTTCCTTACTCAATAGTAAGTCACCTCGTCTCCGTACAAAGTGGATCCGGCGCCGGGCTGTTTCACGATACCAGCTTCCACCAACTCATTGATCAGGTTGAATACCATCAGATCACAGCCGTGAGGTGCAATAAAATCCACTGCGACAGGCAGATATTCCTGCTGCTCGGTAATGGTGGAGTTGTAGAGCGCCTGGCCGACTAAATTGTAATTGTCATTAGTTATGATTCCAGATTAAACCTTCGGAAGGCTTATTCAAATAATAAGGGAATGTTTGAGCTTACTCGGAACGACCATATCGGGCACACCAGCAAAGTTAGCGATACGAGATGTAGCGAAACCTCTCGGGACACCCGGCATGCTATATGATTCCAATGGGTTAGCAAACAGTCTCTCAGACATCCTATAATATCGACAAGGACGAGCACGTACCTCCGGTAAGTATTGCGATAGGTCGGTGTGGCTTCAGTTCCAATGTAAAGAATCAAACTGTCCGAGCAAGTCTCCTCGTCGAAAACCTGGGCAGTTGTGTTCCACCAGCTGGTAAATGTGTTCTTGTGTTCAATTTCAGTGTCGAGTTGCGATTCCGGGTATCCAAGTCCCCAATCCCAACGGGACCGAGGCACGGGATTGATAAATGGCTTGCGACCGCCATTGGCAGCCGCGTAGTCTGCATACAGCGGTGCGGCAATGAGCGGATACTGCTGCTTCGAGATGAGGATAGAGTAAGTGAGAGCCAACATGCTGTCAAGGGTTGTGTTGGCGGCAACAGTCGAAGGCTTAGTGGACTCCCAGAGAGCATCGTAATCAAAAGCAGAAACATTCGCACCACCCAAGAAAGACGATAACTTGTCCACAAACTCAACCAAAAGCCCCTCGGCTGGGGTCGAGGCATTAGTTTTGAAATCGATCGTCTTGATAGACTTGGGGTACTTGGTGTAAGACTTCAGGCCTGCATCCTTGTACATCACCTCCGCAGCAGCCCGCCACAATTGCACATCTCTTGTCAAGAATCCGGCTGTGTCCAAAAGTGGCGACATGGGCATGACATTATCCAACGAGACCAAGTTCCATGAGGGTCTGTTACCGAAGCATCCGTTCACTTGCGACGGGTTGCGAATTGAGCCTCCGGTATCACTTCCAATTGCCAAATCCAACCAGTCATAAGCTCCAATTCCAGAGCCAGGACCGGACGAGGATGAGCTAGGATCTTGATAACCATCACCGCGGGCGTTGAAGGGGGAGTGATAATCAACCCAATCATCAGTGGCGGTCTCACCGTTGGCGAACTGACTGGTCTTCATCTTTCCGACAATGATGGCACCCGCATCAATGAGGGACTGGATTGCAGGTCCAGTGGTGTTAGCGACTGGGTACGTTTCATAGTAAGCGCGGTTGCCACAGCCGGTTTTGACACCCTTGATATCATAGATATCCTTAACACCGAGACGAACCTATGAGTGAATAAATAGTCAGTATTGCACGTCTCTCACACAGGGGCACCCTCTTATCAAAAGAGCGGAGCGTGGAGAATACATACTCCAGCCAAAGGCTTATCGGCTGTCTTGGTATAGTACAGCCGCGAAGGAACACCAATGGTCAACGACGCATATCCCTGCAAGCTTGCCGGCAAAACATCATACTCATTGTCACCAACCGAGACCAATCCCTGAGTGAAAGAGCCCATCACATCAGAATACAACAGCCAGGCTTCAAAAACGGCTCCACTGGACGGATCCAAGAAGTATGGACCAGCAGGCAGTGTCGACGATGAAGTTACTGTCTTTGACTTCTTGGCACCATATGCAGATGCATATCCAAGGATTTTAGGACCCCATGAAGAATGGGTTGACACATTCTGTGAGGGATTCTTGGAGGTGCCATTATACTCGACATAAATGTTGTCGAGGAATCCAGCGTTAAAGACATCGTCAGCAGACTCGTAGCTGCTCACCAATGAATCAAGGATTGTGCTGGTCAGCTTCGAGGCATCGCTCCGAATGACCGTCAGAGGTTGCAGGCCATTGAGTTTGCCGAACACGTGTGCATCGGCTTTCAGGGTTGTTACTACTCTTGTGGGAATGTAATAAGTGTTTCCATTGAGCTCAACAGTTTGTCCCTTAGAAGTGATTGTCGCGATGGCGGTAGTGGAGAGTGACAGCAGGGCTGACAACAGAGCTGGTAGACCGTATGAACCAGTAGGAGAGATCATGATGATTGACCTAGACACTCTACACTAGGGATTGATAGTTTGTAGAAAGGTATCTTTATCAAAAGCCCGGACATAATCTACTCATATATATACACATTTCACCATCATCTAATACTGGAGTCCAGATTATCTCAGATTGGTGCCTTCGGTTATCGAGGTACTTTCAGTGATAAAGAGATCTAATATGCATGACCAATTTGGGGTACCTGAGTTTAATGGATCAAAAGGGACTAGCCAGGGGAATACCTAGGTACCTGGGTAGTTCTCTTAGTATAGCTGTGGGAGATTATTGGTACGTTCCTTATCTTTCGCCAAGGCCATCCATGGATATTTCGGCAATTCACTGATAAGGCGAGTCATAATCGGATTCATGATTTCCTTGGTTCCCATTGGTTCAGAGAAACAACCTTAACCTGATAAGGTTAGTTGAATCCACACCCACGTTTTCCATGTGAATGCGAGCCTTGGAGCCTTGGACTTGGAGCTATTCCGTTCGTCGTGCATTTCAGGAGTCCGATTACATCCGATGCTATTTACCTGCCTGTTCTGCAAGGCGGGGTTCAGCCACAATCATAGCCGTTGGTCTTATAGGCACCGATTATGACAGGTGGGGTGTATGAAGTACCTAGTTATCAGACGTTCGTATTTTTCTAGCGTAATAGGCCTTAGTTCGCGGTATTAGGTAATACTATCTACGTTTTCTTGCTATAGTTAGTTAACTATAGCATATCACAGGTAACCTACATAGCGGACGAGATACCTGCTAATAGAGTGTCCTAGATGATAGTGTACCTTTTCAGCTAGTCATGCGCTGATAGAAAAATAGCAACGCACCTACCACATCACAAGAGTAATGGGTCCTCGGGGTCTTTGCATAATAAATCAGGGGTAGTGATACGGTTACGGGTACTTGCATAAGGTCCAAGGGTGGGATCAGCACTCACATTGTCTAAATAGGATTACCGATCACTGCCCAAGATTTTGGCAAGTCTCGCCATTTCATACTTAGCATACGAGACTTACCACCTAGTGGATTTAATCGCCCAACAGCAATATATTTCAATGATATAGGTAACCTGGGCGTGCATCACCTTCGGAATCTATCTTGTGAAACAGCCTACATATATAATTATCGACATTTTTCGTGTAACTTACGGGATGTCAGACCGCAGCTAAGAGACCAGTTCTGCAGGTTTGCCTAAATGAGCCTCTGAGGGGTCACAGACCTGAACTGCAGTCCTATATCCAACCTCCTATCTTGAAATCACTCGTTTGCTCACTCGTCTTTCCCAAGGTAAATCCAACTTCTAGACACTCGTTATACGTATTTTATTTGGTTTTTGTTTACCCACCCCCCGTTCGTTCGTTAGTTTGCTTCTCAGCTAGTATAATCGTCAGTATGCTGGCTTCTCCATATAGGGCCATTTGGACTACCTCTAGACGGACCATACCCCGGGCTGGTGCGACTGACGTCTCATGGTTATGGAAGGTGGTAGCAGCCTGCTTTGCAGCCTTGAACCTAGTCGGGTGAGTCTGATATCACGAGATGATAACATTACTTGAGGAACTGGAGGTCTCTGACTGAAGAGTTGCTGTGGTTAGGTATATGATATTGGCTGTAGTGGTCGGTTCCCCACCCCATGAGTTGCGAATCAATGCTACAGTCTCTATTGTTACTGCATTTGTGTTTGTTGGCATGTCTTACGGTGTATCAGGCCTGATTGCCTTCGCCCAGCGCCACCAAAAGCGGTTCCTCCTCCACTCAATATTTATGTGAGTGTCAATGAGAACTTCACCTCTTCTATCGGCTATTGGCTAACAATTGCAGCCCATACTCGACGGTGAATCTGCTCGCGCTCCTAAATATCCTGTTCCATATCCACGGAAGAAGTCTGCAAATGAACACCCTGCGGATCATAAATATATGCATACCGACTGCTTTCTCGGTTTGCTACGCCCTCGCGGGGATTTTGATATATCGAGAAGGTGGACATCAGCGAGCGGAGGAAGGCACGCCGCTACTCACCGACGAAGAGATGCAACGTCGCCAGTTGCTTCGTTTGTTGGGTGAACGTAGTAGCGCGCCATCGCCTGATCTTGTGCGAAACACTTATCGTTTCGATTTACCTGAAGATGAGGGAGCGCAGAAGGACTGGAGTCATTTGACTGCTTGAAGAACGCTACAGTATAGGAAAAATCGGGTGTGAGTCCAAGGGTATGAAGAGAGAGTGTATGAATAATGTAATTTGAAATGTGATCAAATAATCAACTATTATTTTCCACACGTGTAGCTGTATAGTGTGTACGGAGTACAAAGTGTACAAAGTGTAGATGGAAGAAGTGCCGGGGTGCTGGACCTCGGCTGTTTCTTTTTTTAGGCCGACCGCATTTAAAAAGTCCAGAGAATCGTCATCCCAGAATTCACCTCCTCATATAACCTCCTAGTTCTGATCTCTCTTAAACACAATTTAGAATGTCAAATCGCGTGACAATTTTCGACCCCCCGCGCAGGATCATTCCAAGGCTCTTATCGAGAATGTGCTCGATCTGACCCCAGTGGTGGACCTCGGCCCAGTATGACATCCTGACATCCTGCCATCCTGACATCCCTCAATTCGGTCATATTTTAACAAATTCTTCTTGGTCTCTAGGATGTCTTCACCAATACCCGCCCACTATGGCATCCCCCGGAGCTCGCGGCATCTACGGCGGAGCCGCGATCGCACAGTCCCTATCAGCAGCCATGCTGACCGTCCCCGCCGACTACGCCGTCCACAGCATGCACTGCTACTTCGTGCTTGCCGGCGATTCCGAGATCCCGATTCTATACCATGTCGAGCGCGTACGCGATGGAAGGAGCTTTGTGACGCGAACCGTGCAGGCGCGGCAACGGGGGCGACCGATCTTCACCACCACGCTGAGCTTCAGCCGGGTCGGCAGTGGTGGCGAGAAGACTATTCACCACGCCGTATCAAAGCCAGATGTTCCATTGCCGGAAGAGGCTGAGCCGGGCAGTCTCAAAGCGCTCAGCAATGCGGGCGGCGGTCCTTTCGAATCAAGAAAGGCGGGCATTTTAAACCGTACGTCCCTGGTCGGAAGCTCCATGTTAGGCACGTTGTACTAATGGCTGTCGGAATCAAACAGGTACATCCCCTAATCAAGAAGATAAGAAGGTCCGGCGATATATTCGCGCCCGCGGCGCGATCTCCGAACAGGGTGGTTACCAGGCACACCTGTCGGCACTTGCCTATATCACCGATAGCTATTTCATCGGTACTATCTCGCTCGTCCATGATATCCCCCGCTTTTCCTCCCCCGCCGAGCTCGAGAAGCTTCTGAACGCACTTAAGAACCCATCTGATCTCGACGATGAGGATATCACGCGAGCTCTGAGGGAGTTGAAGGAAGAGGAAGCTGTAGAATTGCGTCGCCGTCTGGAAGGGGCCTTGAACAGGGCCACGACGGGTAAAAATGAGACAGATCATAACGAGCTTGGCATGATGGTCAGCCTAGACCATTCAATTCACTTCCACAATCCGCGGGCATTCCGTGCCGATGAGTGGATGTTGACGGAGATGGAGAGTCCATGGGCTGGCGAAGGGCGAGGCTTGGCAATTCAGAAGATTTGGTCTAAGGATGGGCTACTTATTGCTACTTGCATGCAAGAGGTATGTAATTGCTTTTTTTTCCGTTCATTCTAGGGCTTAGTGCTAACTCTATAATAGGGCGTTGTGCGGTTAAAGCAAGACAAGCCCCCGCTGTCGAAGATTTAGAAAGCTTGTGCTATACCCCTTACCTTGAAGGAGTTATATCGCTCCTATCACTTTCTCTTCTTTTCACATATCTTCATTTATATATTTGGGCTGAGTCCCCCTCAACTTCCTGTGATTTTTCTTTGTGCTGAGGCTGGCCATTCTTAGCTATTTCTCGACCGCATGAGCATGTTGTATTTCAATAGCACCAATCAATCTGGAATATTTAATTTAGATACACATCGTCACACCGAAGACACAGTCTTCCTAGTTAACAAATCATAAAACGCAAGAAACGAACACAAAACAACTTTTGCGTTGTTAAACAAAAAGCCGACCCAGTTTTGATCTCCCAGAGCCAAAATGCGAGCACAAAACAAGATATTACAAAGTCCACTCAAACCTCAATTCTCTCATCTTTCTCGCTTTCCTCATGTCCTGTCTTTTCCTCGCCAACCCGTTTCTGATAGTATTCCAAGACCTTAGCCCCCAAATATCTCTCCCCTTATATTCACCCACATGTTCAGGCCAACTCCTCATCTCCGTGGCAAGATTATCGAGGTCAGCCATTGGAAGCTCATCGAGTGGCGTAAGATACGTTTTGACGCCGAAGACGATCGCCCCTGTCCGCGGCAGTCGACGGAAAGTCTGTCTCTCGCGGCGGATGAGGATATCTGACGGCAGTGGGCTGGTCAACTCTTTCTCGCAGAGGGAACCAGGCCGATAGAGGATCTCGGCCAAGTTCTCGTTTGGTCCTTTGACTTCTACGAAGAAGTTTGAGCGTTCCATTGGAGAGGTTGGGGTTAGGCGGGCGAGGAATCTGAGGATTGTTAGTTTATTATTTTCTTTTCGTGGCCATTCTTCTTGATCTAATTCAGAGGTCACTTACTTGCTAACGGAGTTCGCAACTTGTTGGTGCCACAGCGGTACAGGGCCATGCAGTTGAGAGATTGTCCAGCCAATTCTCTGATTCACTGTCCACCCCGTTGGGAAGAGACTAGCGCTAGCTGCCCTTTGTTGGTGTTAGGATTGTCAAATTGGCTTTTTATGTTTGGGTTGAGACATACAGGTAGAATTCCCCTTCGTCGTTCATCATCAAAATACTGAGATCCTCCATCGTGAGACGAACAGCAGCCTCAAGTGCCTCGGTCAGTCCCTCGTTGGGGTCACGCCCGCTGACGGCGAATTTGTCGCCGGTCATGCGATTATCGATGATCTTTCGGCCGTCTTGGATTGACATTTCGAACATATTGGGGAATCTCTCACAAAGAAAGTTCGAAACTTCCTCCAATGCCTCCTGGCATGGATCAATTGACTCTGGCAGACAACGCAGGACCTCTTCTCTTTTCTCGTGGAGCAATTGAGTCCGGACGTGGTGTTCGTCCATGTAGTTCTTGTCGAGGGTGAGCCAATTCTGGGCGTCAAGTTTGCGAATGTCCATCATCACACGGTATCGCTCTCGGCCTTTGATGGGCTGCGCTGGGTATGGTGCCATGCGTCTGATGTCGGATGGATTGGAGACATTTTTTGAGCAATGCTTCCCTTTCAAGTTGTGTGATAACCACTGAAGAAGTTGCTTTTGGTGTCTGACTGCGAAAAGAAAGACGAAGATTGGAATGGCAACTAGTGAGAAGGTTGTCATACTTTTTCCATTTAAAGGTTCCAGGTATATATAGATCGTTGAGAATGTTTTCTTTTTGAAATCAAAACGACTAATTAAGAGCGCTCAATGTCAAAGTAAAAAAAAAAAAAAAGTGAATACGATGGACTATGAACTAGATAGACTAGACTATATAAATATGATTTTAAAGATGGGCTATGAAGTCACCCATCGGGAAACAGGCAGCAAAGTAGAAGATCACCAGACGATAATTCTCAGCTTCACACTAGTCTCAGTCAAAAAAAGGATAGCAAAAAAAGGATAGCTCTAAGGTATGGCAGCTGCATTCCACATGCCTCATTCGGCGAAGTTGTGCCTGCGGAACTACTGTGATACGCCCAGGGATTCCCCGCAAAAAAAAAAAAGGTCAGAGTTCACCGGGGAGTACTACCCACCACATGATCTCAGAGGTATTTTTTTATGTATATATATATATATATATTATGTATTATATATTATATATTAAGCCCAAAAGTTCAAGAGTGGGAACTTTGACAGTCAGGGCTGTGCACAAACAATTAACTCCGAGTGTGTATGAGTGGAGATGGATTACAACTAAACCTTCTCTAACTGGTTGTTGATCTCCTACCAGTCCGACAAGAGGACTCCAAAAACTAGTATCTAGGCCCATAGTTGCTTGGCGGATCAATTCCGGAGACAGGGCTTCCACGATCTAGACACAGAATCCCGTATTTAGCTTCAAATAATCGTCAAGCTCGTTTATTACCGTCCGTGCATCCTATGAACCGCCAGGGCTTCCCCACTCGAACAATTCTTGAATAACTAACTACTATGTAGACTTCGGATAGCTATCGTCGGCGAGACAAATAACCAAGAGTTAATTCGAACCGCGTAGGGCGCTTGCAAACTCATGAGTATCCAAACTCCGAGAATAACAGATGTTTGATCTGGGGTCACGCAGGTCCGGGGTTCAGCTGTTAATCATTACCGTGTGGGAATGTTTAGTGACATATGAGATCTGACTGGCTCGGGGATGGATAGGTGCACATCACATTCGAGCTAGGTAGATGGGCACATGGATTTAGTCTGACGTATCATAGTCATACCCCTCGTGTGTGGGGTGAATATCAGGGGGCTTTTGCTTTTTTTTTTTTTTTTCTTTTTCTTTTTCCTCCAACGGGTCTCTCGTTTGTCACATCAGCCCCGATTTAAAGATACTAGGGTTACTACAGGATGTTCGCTTTTCCTTGGCTTTAGGTTGGGCTAACAATGTCATTTGCATCGGATACCAACACTAACACCTAACATTTAACACAATAATAAACATAAACTAAACTAAAGTGTCTCACTCTGGATCACCAGGCCATCATTTACTAAAATACTTAAGAGGCTCCACAGACTCCATCTGGGGTTCCCGCTGTAACCGCATATCCACCGCATATCCACCCCCTTTCGCGCAAAGCGCGTTTGCCGCTATTATTCTTTTATGATATAATTACAACTTACGTTGCTTTCTATTTTCCAGGTCTGGGCTTTGATTCTTTTGATATCTTGAAAATGTCTTATTCCCTGATTATTATTATTTTCCGCCTCCCCGTCATAGTCTCTTTCCCCCAGGCTGATATTCCCACACAGACCACCAAGATCAGGATCAGATTGATCTACAAAGTATAATAGATTTTCGCCACCGCTCATGATCTTCACGAACTTGTTTGCGCATTTCATTCATAACTAGATGAATGGGAAATACTGTACATAGTATTCCGTACATAGTATTCCGTACTCCGCACAGAATCCTTCCATTGCTACATAATTGACTAACTAGTTTATAATCTAGTACATCCCACACGGGCCAATCAATTCTCCTAGCTAGACCTGATCCAAGACTTTTGTAAGTCTGGACCACGACTAGATTCATCAATCCTTGAACCCTTGAAGTCTTCATCCTGGATCTGGATCACAACAATTAAAGTGCAGACCAATGCAAGTCACCACTCGGGGCTTTGTCAATCACCCCATCGGTCCGCAAAGTCGTTTTTTTTTTTTTTTTTTTTCTCTTTCTTTGTTTTTCTCGTTACCTGTCTCTTCCGCACAGACGTTTAGATCACCTGAAGCTGTCCTGTATGGTTGGATTGGAGATTCCAAGGTGGATCTCCCGTCTACCCGGCCCTTTATTTTTTGCATTAGTAGCGCTCCAGCCGAAAAAATCCTAGAAATTGCATCATATTTTTACGGAAATAATGTCTCCAATGGGGGTTATGTGTCCTTGACAGGGACTTTGGTGGTACAGGATATTGTTGAATGAGTCACATGTTTGCTGATCACATGGTTGTTTTCTGTTTCGGTCAGAGAGGATGTTCAATTTTGATATTTAGACCAAGGGGTCATTTCTTTGTTTTTCGAACTGCAATTTCTCCATCAAGCTTTTTTATTCAATATTAGAAGTATTAGAAGCCGTGTTATGATAGCGGACATAAATAAGGTAGTACTGATGCAAATATTCCAAGCTGATTCTCGAAGAGATGCGACGATTGCAACACTATTTCTAGCTTGATTCATTAGCGAAATCGGATGGAATTTTCAAGTCTTTCGAGACTACGTCACAATAATATGTAATATGCATTAATATCTCGTATTTAGAGGGCACTCATCTAAATTGAATGGTCTCTTTCCTAAGTACATGGACAGAAAGAGGTGTGAGTCAACCAAATCATCCTATGAGAGTCACCGTTTGCAGCTTTCCATCTTGCATAGTGTCAACTGCATCCACCCCAGGTCTCATAGCACCCATGATACCCGCAACACGATGCGCAATCATAACAATAGTGTGACCTTGAAGATCATGGCGGAGCATATCTGTCAGAATAGATTCAGTTTCCGAGTCCAACGAAGAGCTAGCTTCATCTAGAATGGTTCGGCTGAGGGCGAACAGTTGTAAATGTCCGGTCGAGAATGGCAGAAATGAAGACATAGGAAGATCTAGTAAACTTCGAATATCAATATTCATGTTTTCCTTCTTGCTGTCTGGGATGGCCGATGTCGAATGAATCTTGTCCCAAAGACCCGTCCTTTGGAGACTCCATAATATATCTTGATCCGAGCTCGTATGATAAGGATCTAGATTGAACCGCAGACTGGCCTTGGGAATACTCAACCCATCTTGAGGCACTGTAATGAACCCGCGTTTTCGGACTGTTCTCGGGGACAGATAGCCAATATTGATGTCGTCAATTGAGATAGATCCCTGTCCGGGCCGGAGGAGCTGCAACAATGAAAGCATCAAAGTGCTTTTCCCACTAGATGGAGGGAGAGCGTAGTTAGCCATGGAGGTCGCAGCGCTACCGATTGGTCTTATTTATTCCTACCTTCCTGTTCGGCCTATAGTCCAGGGTTGACGGCAAGAGAGAGATTGGACAAGGAAAGTGCCGCGGACTCTGAATAGGCGACTGAGATGCCATTGACCTCCAAATTGCCGGAAGAGGGCCATTGCAATTTGTAAGTCAGGATCCAGAGTACCCCTGTCGTCATCCTCAGGGACGCAGTCTTGTATACTCTTCAATTGGGAAATGGACCCCAGAGAGGTTTCCAGAGATGTCCATGACTGTATAAGGCGTAGGAGTGTGGTGTTCGCAACGATGAGCAAGTTTAGAGCCACGCCAAGATCCGCACCAGTGGTCGTATTCTGATACAGAACGGTGAAAGCGATGAGAACGACTGCGAAAATCGCAATAATACAATCCATGATCATCTTCAGCCAGCATTGTAGGCAGAGAAGAATGTAGAACGGCTTCTGGGATAGCGAAAGAGAAGTTGGCATGAAAATGACGAATCTCATGCTGGTAGCCTAAGGCCACAATTTTTGATAACATCCCTTGAAGCTCTTGCCCTCTCCATCTTCCTTCGTTCCTTCCTTCCCTGTCCATTCAATAGCCGGACATTGAGTTGTATCGTGGAAATATTTCGCATTAACTATACCAGCTTGGGGCGTTGTGGTTTAGGGATTACACACGGTCGGAAAAACTAGATTGAAGTGAAAGTAGGCTGAAAATAACAGTCGGATCATTAAAACTAGACTACAAGTTATTTCCAGTCTTCCTAATGGGAAGATATCAAAAACAATCTGAGTATAAAGCAACACCCGCCCATGCAATATATGGTCCCTGATAGAAAGTAAAGTGAGATGTCTCAACATGGGGGAACAAGAAGCAAAACGTAAATGAAAATGCAGGCACCTGTGCGGTTTTTTTTTTCTCCCTTCGACAGGAGCGTGGTTCGAAGCAGCTGGTGGAGTTCCTATGTTGCTCAAACGTTAGAGAATAAGGATATGGTCAGTGTCACTCGCCTCGTGAAAAGAAAATTAAAATCTTTGAATGGCCAAAATGGTGAGAGAGAAAGAAAAATAGACAGCCAAGAGGAATAAATGTCCGCGAACAAAGTCGCTATGTCGAGTCAATATTCGAGTAAATCGTGAGAAGCACTCAGCCTCAGACGCGCAATCACTGACCATCTTCAACAAATGATCGACGCTTTATCCGTGCGAGCAGTATCAATCCTCGTCATCGAAACCCCAGTATTGCGAGACGGGATAGGCTCGAGGACATCATCACCATTCGCAAGACGCTCATCCCTCTCACATTCCAACCTCTCAGCCTCCTTAATGCGCTTGAGCTCCTGACAGAACTTGCTGTTTGATCTGATGCGATCACCGTAGCGAATAAATGCAAACGGAATTATAGAGACGCCGAGACTAATGAAAGCAATCAAACTGCAAGCCCAAGGAACACCGAGCCGGTTAAACATCGGCTTAGCCGCGAGCGGGAGCACAGCTCCAAAGATACTTCGTGTGCAGCTTGCGGCGGACTGTGCGCTGGCAGAGAGAGTCTCGTATGCGTCGGTCAGGTAGTTCAACATAGCCATGAAGATCAGCAGGTAGCCCATTCCGAACGGGATGCCGGAGAGGAAGGGGACGACCCAGTGGATGTTCGGCGAGGCTGTCCAGCCTATCCAGAAGAGAGAGATCACGTATAGGGGTCCACCGATGCAGGCGAGGGGAAGTCTGCGGTACTCCTCGATGAAGGCCCAGCTGGCGTTTCGGGCTTTTGCTCGGGCTAGGAAGCCATCGTACCATAGGAAGACGAAACAGGCAAGGACGGCGCCGATGCCGACTGTTGTGTCGAAGAACATCAGAATCTACTCGTTTTGAGTTTAGAGAAGGGACGTTTGGGTAGACTTACTAGGCAGAAACATCAAGCCAGAGACACCAGGGCTCATTTTGTAGATATCTGCATGATGTTTGTTAGTGCCTGTCTCCAACAGGGTTATGCATCAGCTAGCTGGGATAGGTCACCGACCTTGGAAGATAATTGGATATGCCTCGAAATAGAGGTAGAAGATTGCATATGCCAGAGAAAGATACAACGAACTCAGAGAGACGATATACTCATGAATAAGCATGCGGAAAGGTCTTGATATCGTGATGAGAAGCATTTCGCGCAGATTGCGACTCTGAATTTCCAAGGGCGATACGATGCTTGAATTCCCAGTGTCTTTGCGTAAATTTTGCGCACGACGCTTCAGAATGACGGGGGCATATGTTTCGGGCATAAAAATAATCAACGGCAAGGTAGCGCCTGCCAGGATGAGTCCAATCCAAAAACACCAACGCCAGTCGACAACTGCCACGAAGCCAGATACCCAAGGTCCGATAATTGGCCCGAAGGTTGTACACTGTTAACAAATTAGCTGTTGGACCCAAGAGCTCTAGTTAAATGTATGCAGCAAACTTACAGCCATGAAATAAGCCATTAGCCGACCTCGCAGTGTGGGGTCGTCATTCACATCCGCAAACAATCCGCCGACAGTAGCGATGGGGGCCGACGCAACCATTCCATTGAATAGTCGGAAGACAAGCAGAGATGTATATGAATCTGCGACAGCGCACGCCAGCGTGAATATCATGAATAAAACAAAAGAGATAAGCAAAGGGGGCTTCCGGCCAAAATACTCTGAGCTAGGACCCCATAACAACGGTCCTACGACATAGCCGATGAGAAAGATGGAGATGGGCAAGACGAGCATTGTTTGGTTGGTGATGTTGAACTCTTCGGCAATTTGGGGGATGGCGTTGCTACAAATTGACGAGCCGATAGTACTGTTCATGACCTGCATGATACCAGCTGTGAGAACAAGAAACTTCCTCCTCTATCGGTCATATCAGTACTCTTTTCTTCGCCTTGCTGCTTTGTATTGGGTAATATCCCACATACCGTTCTCCAGTTAACGGGGTTTTCTGGGTCATTAGGTCCGAATGAAACAATCGTTTTGGAAGCCACTCGACGGAATTTATAATATGAAGGGTTTCCATAGCGTTCTTGGATGGGCTCATGGTCGACTTCCGAATCTTGGTCTTCAGAATCATGGGAGTGACGTGACTCATGAGATGGAGTCACTACGTTCTCTGTACAACAGTTTCAGTATTTTGAACACTTAAGATACAATATAGAAAGCATCGGCGAATAATATAGGTGACTCACCTGTTGCTGACATGATCTTTTCCATATTTTCCTCGGTAGCCACATGATCCGACATCTTGGCGACCTTGTCTCGACAAAATGGACGGTCTGTACACTAGATGAAGATCTAGGCGGAACGCAAGAATTATAAAGGGCTTCAAATTGAAAATGCCCATCCCTACACAGTGGCAGTGGATATGTGACTCAGGAAAAATAAATCGTTGTTTTTGATGTGGATTCCCTGAATTTGACAAATCGAGTCGGGACGCGAAGCTTAGGAACTTACATCAGAGACTAGCCTTTCCCTGTCAAAATAGGCATTTGGTGGTGTGGATCAGTAGGCCTGGCTCGGGTAGGACGGCTTTACCCCAACTGTTTGGACGAAAAATCAGGAAGCCGCGGATTGCTACACTGAAAATTTTGATTTGATTCTGTGGAATATCACATGGGGTCTCGCATAGAAGACCGCTTATCACAATCACTTGATAGACTAGCACATTGTCGCTTGCGAAACTACAAAGGTCCATACAAACCTTATTCACCGCATGCATCCTCGTTCGAATATTGAATTCTTCAATGTGTGATGACGGACAAAGACCCTGTCGATCAACGATTGGCCTTGCATTAGCAATTGCGCCAGATAGTTCCCCTGTCATCTAAGTGACACCGATGAGACAAACTCAATTGGGCTGACGAGTACTTGTTCCCATGATATGTGTGATTTGCGTAGTGGGCTCATTAACCCAATCTAGCTATAGCCGATTTTTAATCCGAGGAAGCTCTTTGTAGCGGGGACCCCCAATTCTGGGCACAACGGGAACGGGAACGGGGTATTCTACACATCGTGAGCTCGACTTGGAAAAGTACAAATTTTGTTCTCGGAGGAGGATCCGAAAGCGCCCCACATAAGAGTAAACGATGCCGTTTCGGGGGTATGCTGTCTCTTCCGATATGTATGTTGTAGGCCTTAATAAACTCGTTTCTCGGGATTTGGGCTAATGTCGGCTAAACTAACATTCCCCGACGTCGTGTCTGATTGCGTTGCGTGCTGACGAATTCGGCTTTCTAGCCGATCTGCCCTGATCGCCCAAAAATCCCCTTGCGCATCTGCAAGACATCAAGGGATAAAGACTATACAAATGGAGCCTCAATACGTCTCAAGAATTCCTTCCATTCTGCTCAATTCTGGTCGCAATGTATTATTATGACTTATTTTCAACAAGCACAAATATCAAAGTTCAGTTGAAATGAGTGTCTATCTACGGCTAACCATAGGGATATATTCGGTCACATAAACTCTTAGAAGCTGTATATGTCATCGTTGCTAATATGAAATAACTAGTTAGTACTTCAATGCCTGGTTTCTGAACACCGAAAGCGCAAATCTTGGTGTAAAAACTCACAACGGCCGGTTTATTCCATTCCTCCCCTCCGCTTGGGAGTTCACCCAGACACTAACACTCATAGCGGCGACTGGGAAAACTCCATAGCCGCAATTATTAATGAGTACTGTCTCATCTCGCCAGTCAAGAATATCCGTCCACAATTCCCCAGCATGTCTGTGACCAACAAACATGCGCTTGTAGGACGCGCCACCATTGCTGAGGATACAGGCAAGACCGAATGGGTGTTTATAGCTCCCGTAGCGCACGAATCCTGTATATAACTGTAAGAACTAACAATTCACATCCAAGAAACCCATACTGACCAATGCAGTTCCGTCTATTGAAGTAGTCTCGTTGTTCCCCGTGTGCATATAACTTTCGGACACGCGTGAGTATAGGAAGCGTTCCGCGGCATGATGGCCTAGGCTGGGGCTCGGGTCCACTATTAATTCCATAGAGGTCTCCGTAAAAGATGCATGGCTGCCCTTGGCTTCGAAGGAGGATCAAAGAGTATGCGAGAGGTTTGAAGAAGGGCGCAATGATAGTCTATCAGGAGCTTTAAGTTCTCATCCACGTCCCAGGGCTGTATAAGATGTATCTGACCTCTAATGATTGTCCAGGTTGCTGTGAGATCGTAAGCTTCAGTAACACGACACAAAGGGTCTTCAACATACTGTATCATGATTTCCAACAAAAGTCTGACGGTGAAAGTGAGGTTAGTTTGGTAAACATTTCGCACAAGATTATTGAGCCTTACTACTGCATGCGACGGCATCTGCTCTACTAGCGTGCCTTTGAAAATCTTTCGTAGATCACCACCTGCCATCTTGGAGATAGCTGCAAACCGGCCCAAAAGTGGCACATCGAACAAGGAGACCCCATAATCCATTAGTTTAAGATACCCTAGAAGTAGACCCACCTCTCCTCTCCAGTACTCTGCGACTAAGAAGTAATCAGCACCAACCGTTTTGCGCAAATGTGTCACGAATTCTTTCTGAAAAGAGGCGGAATAATGCTTTGCTGCATCGATTCGCATTCCACTGATTGGTAATTCGGTACAAATCCACTCTCCCCAGTTTAATATATCAGCTCGAACTTCGGGATGGGAATGGTCGAGATCGGCGAACATCAGGTAGTCGTAATTTCCATGCTCCTCACTCACGTCCTTGGCCCAGTCTTTATTCTGTCCCAGTGTCTTGTATATTGCATGCTGCTGGGTCGCATCATCCCAGTCCACACCAGTAAAATGTTCCCAGTGATACTTCATGGAGCTGTACTTCTCACCACGTCCCGGAAAGTCGAAGCCGACCCAACCAGAGATGGTCAGAGATGGAGATATTTCAGTGTTCCGATCTGCAAGGTTTTCGACATCGATAAGCACTCTGGTCTTTCCCGTGTCACCAAAGAAATAATCACCTTCTGGGTCCATCTTGACGACTGTGAACTTCTCAGTCGAATCCGCCCCAGCCTTCTGGTTCAAGACAGTATCCCAGTAAATCCCAATGTCCATATCTTGTGCGGCCCGTACCAAGCTCTGGAGGTCCTCCTTCGGGCCCCATCGCGTGGCTCTAGTGCCCTTCTGGTCGAATTCCCCGAGATCATACAGATCGTAGATATCGTATCCAATTCCAGATGGGTTCATCCCCTTGCACCCAGGCGGAATCCAAATGTTGTCAACTCCGATGTCTTTCAGATCGGGGATTGCCTTGCGGAGGCGCTTCCAATGGCGTTGGTCAGCTGGGACGTGCCATTCAAAACCTTGCATCATGAGTGTGTTTTCGGGGGAGACCACGACTGCTTTTCATCAAGTCCGACGGCATCTACTCGATATCGAGATGGTTAGCTCATAGCAGGAAATACATGGAGATAAGAGATTTAAGAACCTTCGATTTCTCGCCACTTCTTGGTCCCTCTCTGGATCTTCAAACAGCAGCTTAAGAATGACGGCATTTGGCCGATGCGTGTCTCTATCGCGAAAATGGTTAGAGAAATGAAATAATGGCATCCAGCAATCCTCAAATATACGATGGTCCCCAAAAATCAGGCCTGGGCGGAACTAACGAGTGACGAGTGACACTGACACAACCTGCTGTGCGAGATACATTGGCCGGTATAGATTCAAAAACCTCCTCGTTGGGTTGGAAAAGCAAAAGCGCCCTGGTTTGAAAGATAAGATAGATGCTTAAATTAACATCTTCCTATTGATATGAACAAAATTCATTATTTTCGTCTGTTTTCATAGAGGTTTATTTGCGTAGGCTGTCGCAGCTGCACTGTGGCAACACCTAGGACACACCTACCCCCAGTGAGCTTTGTACAAATAGTCAATGCGATGAATCGGTGTCACGAATAGTTGACGCGTCCATCTTTGGTTACATAAATACAGGTAGAGCGTGGAAGGTCTGTAAGTATATTGTCCAGTACAGACATCTCGGATCGTGGGAACCAAGTAACAAATGTAGCCAATCACACAGCTTGTTAGGAGTGACTAAAATAGACTTGGCTCTGGGTATTGATTCGTGGAAAAGCAGGCTGAGAGCTGTAAATGACTAACGAAAGCGCACTTCCAAGGTTCCAAGGGAAATGCCTCAAAAGTGGCAGTCTTGGCGCTGTGGTGTTACCAAATTGGTAACGAATTGTAAATACGTGTCCACAGTGGGGATGTGGCGGGTGGCTCGTGCGTGGCGGAGTACTGTTGCGGCCAACTGACCCTTTTCATTCATTTTTTATGCATTCACATTACTTAAAATAGACAGCTCTAGAAATCTTCTATGTTATATCTTGACTGACTATTGACAAAACTGTGATAGAATTCTCCACGCCTCATATCTCACTTCTCAATCTCCTCCATCGTCCGCTGTGCATCCCTTGCTGAGGTTCTCACTTCATCTCCAATCTCTTCTATTATAGCCAACTCCCCAAATCTCACCTTCCAAAACTGCCACCTCTCCTTACAAAACCCATGTTGACCTTTCCAGAGCGGGCCTCCTTTCCCGAGAGCGCCATCAAACCCTTCGTTAGACTGATAGATATCTGTCCCGAAAATACCGATCCACGCAGCAGCAGCAGGAATCAATGCTTCTAGTTTCCCCCGGATTGCTCTGTTGGTATTTCCAGTGCCTCGCGCAAGGTAATCAGCGCAAACCAGGAGTATATAAAGACAGGCTCTTTTGTCGCCATTAACCGTGCGGTGAATCTGTCCCGGTTGATAATTCGCGAGATTGCGTTTTGGCGAGAGTCGGAGGGTCCAGCCGGTACGGATGCATTCCACTCATCGCGGAGTTGCCAGCCAAGCATTGGTAGGTCTTTCCAGACTTGCATATCGTGCAGCGAAATGGAATTCCCGGTTGATGTTTTTGCATTGGGGAGTTTTGAGAGTTGGACTAGCACATTGACGAGTTTGTCATGGTGATCGGGGAAGTCGTATGCACACTTGAATATCAAGCTCCATAGGCTGGTAATTCCTCCCTCGGGATCTGACTCGTCTGCCAAGGAGATGGAGGCCAAATATTCAACGGCTTGCTGTGTAGATATGCTGTCGCTGAACAAGTCTTGTAGAATCGCAAATCGAGGGGCAAAAGTATCTTCTGTGATCGCGACCATTTTCGGTGATGGTTGATCAGAAATAGGTTGATCAGAAATAGATTTTTTGTATATGATAAAGAACAGCTTCAGTGATGTTGTAATTTTCTAGACTCAGGTTCTAGGGATTTAATTGTCTCTTATCACTGTGAATATTGGTCATCTCGAAGCTCAGTATCCCATAGTGGCCTCGTGGCCTTTATCTGATGATCTCATTGGTTCTGATACGAAGGTTGCATACAACATATGTAGCTTCACCAGTACGCTAATCCAGGGCCCTACGGCAGTATTTTGTTATATAACAGCATGCAGTTTTGATATGCCTCGGTTCTTTTAGGGAAATCAACCTAAACCATTTATGTAATTCCAAGATTGTATACTCCGTACCAGGATGTATAGAAAATATAACACAATGGCCGCAAATAGCTACTGTCCAGAGATGGCTGGTGTAAATCATCTCCCAGTTCCAACGTGGGTCTGCTATTTCAATGTGATTTTATATGTACTCCATACTGTGCAATATTCCCTACATATACCAACACTTCCACACCAATTAATCCTACTAACTACAACAATGTGAGCCTTGGAAAATAGCTTGGAATGCACCCCTATCAAATCCCCTTTGCGGTTCCTCATCCCGCCTATTTCCGGCAACGGGTTCCTCAACCACATCCGGGATGACGTCTAATAGCTAACCTCAACCTCAAAGTGAAGGGTTTGATATAAGTATATGAATATAATACATAACAATTGATCTCATGTAAAACCGATTGCGAATAAAACACTATGCGGTTGACCGGGCGATCGGAGTTTAGTGTGGCTACCGAGTGGCTCCCGCATTGGCCGCGAAAAGTTTTCGGGTTCGGCGGCCCCATCCCTTTCAAATCCTTTCTTCTTCTCTTCCACTCCCAAAGGCTTCAATTGTATTCCATCCTCTCCTCTCTTTTTAACGTTTTTCTTTACGTTATTTTATATCCATCAAAATGGCTGCCCCTACCGCCCCCAAGGAGGAGATGAGCTCTCTCAGCCTCGTATGTTTTGAACCGAAAACTCCATAATGCTTTAAAACTGACTCGAGTCTTGCTTCCAGTACTCTCGCTTCGCTTTCGCCGGTGCCATGTGCTGCGCTATCACCCACGGTGCTGCCACTCCTCTCGATGTGTAAGTCTCTGAAACTATCGCCAGTGCGCGAGCAAGAATTTCCGCTCATACCCGGTCCTCCACAGCATCAAGACCCGTATCCAGCTTGACCCCGTCACCTACAACCGCGGTATGCTCGGTGGTTTCCGCCAGGTCGTCCAGAACGAGGGTGCCGGCGCTCTCCTGACTGGTTTCGGTCCTACCGCCGCCGGTTACTTCCTCCAGGGTGCCTTCAAGTTCGGTGGATACGAGTTCTTCAAGAAGCAGTCCATCAACGCCCTTGGCTACGAGACTGCCAAGAACAACCGCACCGCTGTCTACCTCGCCTCCGCCGGTGCCGCTGAGTTCTTCGCTGATATCGCCCTCTGCCCTCTCGAGGCCACCCGTATCCGTCTTGTCTCCCAGCCTACCTTCGCCAGCGGTCTCCTCCCTGCCATGACCCGTATCCTGAAGGAGGAGGGCATTGGTGCCTTCTACTCCGGATTCGGACCCATCCTGTTCAAGCAGTAAGTTTTCCGATTCTCTCGTTCGGTTTATATGTCCCATGAAATTCCCACTAACTCGAACTTCCCACAGGGTCCCCTACACCATGGCCAAGTTCGTCGTCTTCGAGAAGGTCTCCGAGGCCATCCTCTCCAAGGTCAACAAGGAGACTCTCTCCGACGGTGGCAAGACCGGTATCAACCTCGGCTCCGGTCTCATCGCCGGTCTCGCCGCCGCCATCATCTCCCAGCCCGCCGACACCATGCTCTCCAAGATCAACAAGACCCAGGGTGCTCCTGGTGAGGGTACCGTCACCCGTCTGGTCAAGATCGCCAAGGAGCTCGGTATCCGTGGCTCTTACGGTGGTATCGGTGCCCGTCTCTTCATGGTCGGCTCCATCACTGCCGGTCAGTTCGCCATCTACGGTGACATCAAGCGCATGCTCGGTGCCACTGGCGGTGTTGAGATCGGTAAATAGACGACTCGAGTATAATACACTCGGGAGGATAATAGAGACTACCCTTAGAATTCTTTTTGTTTTACGCCTTGTCCATCCCCCACACACGATGTACAATATTTTGTCTCAGCTTCCTTTCAAGAACACGCTCGCCGATTTGTCACATTTACAATTATTTCTATTTCTTTCGTAAAGTAATAGTATTTTAGTCATTGATTACGTATTGACGCCTTGGCACCTGGGCATATCTGGGCATACCTACCTAGGTATTTGTCTAGTCTTGAGAAGGCGCTTCTCTGGTGGTTCGGCCAATTCCTTCGGATGCTAATGCACTTGGATAGAATATAGTAGCTAGGTGTTTGATGGGGCTAAGGAAAAGGAGTTGCGGAGGCTTGATGATATTTGGGTTGAATCGGGAGTCAATATATTCATGTCCAGTCCTAACAGATTCTAAATTTGCAGGTACATAGTGGCTTTTTTACCTGTGCTTTCATGTGAAAATATAAGATATTTAGAGATATTGGAAGATATCCGCAACATACTGACTGACGTTGATCCTATAGTTCTGGCACTAAATAGCTATTTTTGCCATTTTATCATGGATATAGTCATCTTGTGGGCTATTTGAATAATTTATCATAGTTCAAAATAGAATTTGTCGACCTTCTCTATCTCTATTCTTCTAGCTTTCACCATCTACTTCATCGTGTTGTACAAATTCCCCCGCAGGTTGAGAGATGATGGTGGGAATACCTACGAGACCAGCAATGAGACTAGACCTCATACCGGTCATATCGGTACTGGAGAGAGTCTTTATGTTGACCTTGGGAAGGTAGAACCTTGGGAGGGTAGAGTATAGAGGTGAAGAGACAAAAGGGGGAACAAATAAAAAAATAAAAATAACGACATCGCCACCAAACGAACGGCGACCCTCAAAAAAAAAGAATTTTGAGATAATGAGAGGTATATATATATATATGGGGATCAGTGGGCCAAAGTGGTAAGAAGCACCATGTCACCATGTTGCCAGCTAGTCCACAGGCCAATCCCCAGATACCTTGGACCTCTAGACTTCAATTTATGTTCAAAATAGAACAGGCACAGGCACAAATATCACATTGCACTAGTAGTTACAAAGCAATATCCCTCAGAGAATCCATCCACCGGTATAATACGCATATCCCTCGACACCCAAATGTCTAGTTCGACCCCTCTTTTGATGCCTGAGAAGTCAGGCAGGGAGCCAAATTAGATAAACGGGGGTCGAATTAGACATGGGGGGAGTAGCAATTCCCTACTATTATATGCCTAGGTGAGAAGTTTGCTACGAAGACGTTGTAGAGGCGGATATAGGTATGAGACAGAAGCGGTAACCTAATTAGGAAGGCGGTACTAAAATTTCAGGTAGGAAAAACAATTCCTAAAAAATAGCCGACAACGCCACCAAACGAACGGCGACCTTCGCAAAAAAGAGGTTGTAAACGAAAAATTGTATGAGGATACCTAGGTAGGTATATATATATGGGGATCGGGGTCCGTAGTAAGCCGACATGTCGCCAGCTAGTCCACAGATCCAATCCCCAGATACCTTAGACCTCTACACTTCAATTTATGTTCAAAATAGAACAGGTATAGGCACAAATATCACATTGCACTACAAAGCAATATCCCTCATAGAGAATCCATCCATCCCGAGGCCATCCTCTCTCTCTACCACAAAGGAATGATATCCGGTATAATACGCATATCCCTCGACACACACTCGAACAATCCGTTGGTCTGCTCCACTTATACCAGCATCATCAAAGACAGACCCAACAAATCCAGAAAGACCTCTATATGCACGAGTCACCAGCGAGTTATAGACCCTCTTCTCGGCCGCAGGCAAAGACTCTTTAGCATATGCAAGAGCCACCCTCGCAGCGACACAGCCTCCAGTGGGAGACCGGTCGATTTGCTGGTTTGCAAAGAAGCAGAGCCCCGTCTCCTCACCATTAGCCTCCATCTGCGCGCGAGCAGCCGCCGTCCCTTCTGGAGCACTAACATGTCCCAGCCGCGTATCCGTGATCATAATCCCATACAACACCCCCTCCTCATCAGTCCGAATATCCCGAGTGAGATGTTTCAGATCTGGATTGGTAACCACGGCCTCCTTGAGCAACCTCGTCGCATTGTCCATCTCCTGCAATTTAACTTCACCCAGTCCACCAGGAAACCCCAATTCCTCAGCACTAACCATACAATAGTACGCACCCCCATAAGCAAAGTCCGCCGTAACGGTAGTCTTTCCCCGAAGCTCGGCCCAGCGATACTTCTCAGGAACAGGGATCTGAAAGGAGATACCCGTAGCAAACGACGGCACAGACACGAACGAAACCGACCGCGACGCATCCGACTTCCCAGACGCCAGGGTGGGGACCGTAACCTCGACCACCCCACAGGGCACATGCAGATTAAGAGTCGTCGTGCGGGTCACATGGTCATATTTCAACTCCTTCCGACGAGGAAATACCGTCTCGTCAACATCGACGAGGAACCGACCCAGCGCGATCGTCGCATGTCCGCACATAGTCGAGAATCCTTCATTGTGCATGAACAGAACGCCCATATGAGCTTTTCCGGAGGCGACGAGCTCGGTCTCCGGGCGTAATATTGCGCCATACATGTCATAGTGGCCGCGCGGTTCGAGCATGAGAACGCGGCGGAATTCGTCGAATTGGGCTTTTGCTTGCGCTCTTTGCTCCAGGAGTGTACCTGTTAGAGGTAGGATGCCCTTCCAGACGATTCGTGTTGGCTCGCCTGCTGTGTGCATTTCGACGCAGGTTATCGGCCTGATGGGGCCTGGGGCTTCGAGGGGTTGTGGGATTTCCATGTTGTGGGGATGGGGATGTTGGAGCTAGGAAGGAAATGGAGAATTAGATTTGTTTGGAGGGGGATTATTTGCTCCGCGATGAGCTGGCAACGGTTTTATACGAACAGACTCGGAGTCGGAAGGGCGGCCCGATAATTTAGCTAACGCCTTTACCCGAACAGGTAGGTGGGAGCTTGTCAAAATAAGGGCGCGGGCACCAATAATCGTGCTTGATTTATGTTTTTCTCCTTATAGGTACTTTCTTGCCAAATATGTAGACAAACAGCGTTACTTGTCTTTATAATTACATAGTCGAGGCCTAGCCTCAATTTCTCTCCTCGGCTATTCGTCAGGAGTACTTCGATTCATCGTCATTTGTATGCTTTCTGTCCACGGGTAGATACATAGGAGGCCAGGCAAGCGATCATGGACTACAGGGGAACTACTTGGGTGTCCTTTAAGGGACATGCCTTCTAGCCCTCTGACTCTTCAGATGAATTAGTTGTCATTGGACATAGAGTAGAGAAGCTGAACCTACAACCCTGTCTTCCAAAAATACACCACACCTAGCGACATTTGCGTAGGGAAAGCTAACGTATAGTGGCATATCAAAAATACAGCAATGAGGTTCTATTGCGACAATAGGTCATCTCACGATATAATTTGTGAAGTTCGACCATAACAGAACATATCATCACCCCGCATCCACCTCCATGCCGCTACTGGGCAATGCAATATCAAACCCACGTTTGGTTTTAGTATATTCACGTATCTGAACATCTTGAATATCTTACTCACATCCCATGATTCAATTCTGTTCTTACTCTTGGTAACTCGGTAATCACCCCAGAAATTAAGAGCCACCTACCCACCACTCACACACATGACCTCACGATATAGATCGACCGTTCTAACCACATCTCGAGCAACAACCAAGCAAGAAGAAAGCCAGAAAGGCAAAAATATTGACCGACGCAGGGATCGAACCTGCAATCTCTTGATTCGTAGTCAAGCGCCTTGCCATTGGGCCAGCCGGCCTGTGAAGATTTTGATCCCGTTTTGCTATATGGGGCAGCGGACCATTTTAGGGCAGGCCCCACTTAAAAAGTCCGCATTGGGAGTTTTGTGCCGTTTTCAACGGTCATTCTCTAGACCCGGAGTTGTAGGTATATCAGATCAATTGAATTTCAAATGGTAAAAGCGGAAATAATTTAGTCTCTGTGGGCTAAATTATTTTCGTGCATCATCCTTGGGCTCTAGCATCGAAGTGCGATATTATTTGCTTCGGGCTCTGAAAGGAGTGGTCTGTGATATATATATGTAACGACGGTCCCATGTTCGGGATATTACTGTAGGTCTTATAAGTCTTTTACGTATGTACTGTACCACAAAAAAAAATAAATACATCAATTTAATTGGAACTTTCTTAGACATTACTCTACACTGCAACGATCTGATGGGTGGTATACCATCCACTTTGAGTCCCATTTTCTAAACATTGGGATACTTGAAGCATGTCCTTTAATATTCTAAACTAAGCCATGCATAGCCTAATTGGCACATTGTTCGGTTCACGGCGACCATGGTCGACCGAATGAAGTAGGAAGAGCTAAAAAAAGGTACCTTGTTGCAAACTAATGGGTATAATTCAGAGCAAGAAAGGGCAAAAAAATGCTCACATGCCGATTTGAACGACAGACCTCGTGATAGACTAGACAATACTAGTCACGCGCTCTACCAACTGAGCTATGCGAGCCGTGATGATTGATGACTTACCAAGCTGCTTTATGTTGAAAATAATTTTAATTGGCGTGGTTGAATAGATGTTAACGCATGTCGCACCAAAACATACAGATTCACAATCAATGAAAAATTGGTGGATTTCCCCCCCAAAAAAACACACATTGACCAATCAAAGTTGGGTGGAGTTGATCCATATATGATATGAATAATTTCAGATCTACAAGTATGTACGGGTTTTGTATCGTTTGAGATGTCTTATCAAGTAAAACAAGAGGATGTAGAGCACAAATTTGCACTAGTGTTAGTTCCTCCGCATGAGAAATATAGGGAAAATCCAAGTACTCCGTGGAAGTGCCGAATTATCCCCTTTCTACTCCACACTATAGAGGGATTCTACATTGATGAAGGTTGAGAAGAGGCTTCATACCCCGAAAGAAAAAGAAAAGGGGAGGGAAAGCCGAGATTGGTCTCATATTTCTAGTCTCCATAATACGTAGTAGTATAGGAAGAAAGACAACTTAAATCAAATCTGGGATCGCTTTTGATATCACATGATCTAGGAAAAGTTTGGCTTAAAATGGTGGATTGGATTAATTGAATGCAAAGTTTGATTTAGTTTCTTCGGTACCATAACCAGCTCGCATAGCTCAGTTGGTAGAGCGCGTGACTAGTAATCACGAGGTCTGTCGTTCAAATCGGCATGTGAGCATTTTTTTTGCATTTCCTTTTTATATTCTTTACAGTCGGCCTGGATCGACCCCTGATGCTTCTTCCGGCTTGTCGTATTTTTTTTTTTTTGGAGATCCCTTTAGATTCCTTTCTAGATGGCCTCTTTAAAGAAATAAACGTTGCCCCTCTGGGCATTATAGGTAAGGTGGCAGAAGAAGGCAGCTTCATGTGTGAATACATAACATAGTATTCGAAAGGGCATATAAAAGATACTCCAAAACGTGCTTATATCATTCATTATATTTATCCAATTAGGTAAATCAGAGTATGAAAGTCCTACGCTGTTAGCGATAGAAGCCGTATACGTGACCGACCATTCTTATAGCTCCTAGAGCAGGTAGTTGATGCAAATGCAATATTATTCCAAGGGTTGCAGCGCTTACTTATGTAGTTATCCATTTACCTTACGGTTATGATTCACCAGGCTATCATTACTCTAACCCATCTAGCTCCTCATTTCCCATTTCGTTGATCTCAATTTGTGGATTATGTGTAGCCCACATACTATGGGACACGTCCTTGCATTCAACTATCTGAACTATCTTCAAGATGGCGAATGAATATGCCCACTGGGGCAGAGGGAAGCCGCATATTCCACTGACAACAAAATACTACACCAACCAGATAGACGAGATAATGAATAAATCCGGCGCATATACATATGCGCCGTGAGAAACAGACCCAGTAAGAGGTAAAGTGCTAAAGGGCGGGGGAAAAGAAAGATGTCTAGTCTAACTGTTGGACAAGCAACGCAAAAGACAAAAGACAAAAGACGAAGAGAAGAACGAACCAACCTTATGCTCCGAGAGCACGGGACGTTCACTGTAGAGAAGGGTAACACTCGAAGATGGCGAGGAGTTAGATGTTTGGTTGGTAGAGGTAGAACTGCAAACTGCAAGATTAGGTCAGAGACCACGAGAAATTTGAGGTTCTGGTATCAATTTGATATTGGGGACCAGCCCCGGCGGGATGGAGGGAGCGAAGGAGGGAGGGACTCGCTCAGGCGGGAGTTGCGGAGGTAACTTGGCGTTTCGCGGCTCCTTCGGTTGGACTCTGGAGATTGAAGTTGGTATTAGTTATTCTTACTTGTCGAAATCCTGGGAGTTTGATTCGCACGACGTTGGATCACGAGTTCCACGGTTGATGTTTTGCCAGGTTAGGCCGATCTCACTCGTTTCGGGACACTTACGTCCAACTCGCCAATGCTGCGTTTCTGGCCGGCCGTCTCTGACCGTTTGGTAACTTTCTTCTTTGGCCGAGAGGCCCGGGTCTCTCCGGGCTGGAAGACATCGTCGGGCAAATCAAAGCTAGAGGGCGTTAGATGAAATCCACACAAGTCACAGACAGAGGAGAAACTTACCTGCGAACATGGGTGACGGCCAATTCCATGACTTCTTCCTGGTATCCTGGCCATGAGGTGCAAGTCGACTTGAAGATCTGCGAGTCGGTTGATATATCCAGAGATCGAGATTGGCCTTGAAAAAGGTTAGAGAGATGGCATATAGAGAGAGTGGTGCGATTACCTGGCTCCAGAGGTTTCAGCTCCAGGCCGATGTAATAAGTTGTCGTGTAAACAGTCTGGCCATCGTTATCGACTATGCCCTCAACCTTGCCCTCAACCGGCCCTGGGACCTCTGCATTTTCGAGAGTGTTCTGGACTGCGGCTTGGTGAGCAGCATCCTTAGTCTCATCGGTCATCGCGGTCTTTGTGCCTTTAGCCTGATGTTGTGTAGATCCATTCTTGACTGCTTCCATTTCTTGCTCGTTCTTGATGAGGTGAATTCTTTCAAATCCTTTGGGGAATGGGTGGGCGACCGCAACGATTGGCTTTCGATCTAAAGCGCCAACGAGGTGACGCAGCTTCGACTCGACAAGGCCTGACCACACCGACTCGGCCTCCTTGGTCTTGCTTGAAGCGGTGATGCTGAGGTAGTACTTATAGTCGTGGGTGAAGAATGTGTGGCGCGCAAATAGATCCTGCCATGAGAGCTGCTTCATGAAGATCTTGTCTACCATGTCACCACCTCGCTGTAGCTCCCTGAGAATAACAGCCTTGGTAGACATACTGATGTTGTGGGTGGCGCACATGGAGGGGTACGCGGGAGTGATGATGGGCATAAGGTGGAATCGATCACCATGGTAAATCTGATAGTTCTTAGCCCACATCGTCAGCGAGAGTAGTGGGTTGTGCTTACCTTTGGGTTCCAGACTTTTATCTGAAGGGGTCCATCCTCAATCTGTTTCAATAAGACAGGCTGAGGCCAATTCCACTTGTTCATAATTCTAAAAAACTTCCCCACGATCACAGAACCAGTTGCTTGCGGGTATAGTTGACAAACCCGAGCCACCAGCATAGCCCACGCAACACCACCAGGAAATCCGACAATGTTGGAGTAGATCGCTCGTCCTATATCGATAATTAGAAATTTTGAATAATAATAAATAAAGAATGATTGACACTTACGCTGGGCCCAGAGTTTGATTGCACGCAATGCAAGGCGGAATGTCTTTTGTTGGGGGACTAGCTCCAGTATTTCATCTGTCACACGGGTTCCATTTAGCGATCGCACTTCTCGTTCATCCAGTCCTCTGAGGTAATCATTGTTCTTCAAATCCAGGTTCATCGGGATAGCAGGAACGACAAGGCGGGCAAAGATCAGATCGATACTGATTCCACACAGCTCAAGCTTGATAATCGGAACAAACGCATCGGGCACAGGAGTCATCTTTTCAATGGCTCCTTCGGAAGCCGTTCTTTGGAGGATGGGGGAAATTCAGCGAAGAAATCATCGATCAGGACATGTTTAGGTCCAACGACTAGGGTATCGATATCGGAGCCTGCGAGCATTTATTGTCAATACGGGCACGAGAGCTTGGATCCATACATAGATGAACACCTACCTGGTCCGTATACACCCAGTCTATAACTTCCATACGTGAAGATTTTACCCCCAGAAGCCTCAACAGCAGCAGGTGACAGACCCTTCTTGCGACTGACGACTTGAACAAATTCTACCGTGACGCGCTGAAGTAACTGGAGTACTTGTTTCCTATTCCACGATGATCAGTTTCGGGGTTCTGGCGCTCGTTTTGTTGAAATGCGAACACACCTCCGTTCCGTTTCAGTCGGTAGCTCGAAGTTGTTCTGAGCCTTGAGCTCAGCAATGAGATCGTCGTTCGCCGAAAGCTCATCCTTGGTAGGCAGGACGGTCGAGATCGGAGGTGTAACACCCCATTGTCGGACAGGTGGCGTAGCCATTGTGGGGAATAATCTGAGATGGTAAGATTGGAGATATAGTCTCACAAGCCGTGTGAAGATAGGGATTAGATAACGAGAGCAGAGTTGTCGACGAGCCTCCGAGGCAAGTGGCCTAAGGAGAAAATTCGGTGGTGAGGGGGAAGTAAGAACAGTCGACGGACAACAAATGCAATTCCTGAACGAAACGAGAAGTAAGGACAGAAACAGGAAGAGAAATGGAATTGAAGAAGGAAGTTGGTCGCCGCGTAAGGTTCATCGGCGCTTCCAGGGCCAGGGCAGGTGCTTACTCAGCGACACGTGATCACCATCTACTTGGATTTTTTGGGGGAACAACGAGCTAACATTACTTTTCAACCATCAAGAAATTCCAGTTATGACTGAGATCATATTAGAATGCTACCTTGTCATATTGTATGACCTTTCTTTACTTAATTGAGGGTGCTTTTGGGCTTCTCGGCCAGAGAACTGACCCCATCACCTTCGTTTGCAAAAAATTGGGAGAGCTTGTTATCAAGCCATTTAACATCCTCCGTACTATTGCCTGGACCTCCTGCCCAATCTATCACCTAGTTAGCTTCGTGTTTATTGGAGACTTGAATTGGTATACTTACGACCCCAGATCGAAGGGAAGATATCCAGTGTTCCAATACCTGGCTTCATACAAGAAACCTCGTACTCCGAGTCTTCAGGTCTAATATGATTTGATTCTCAGGTTAGTCTCATTTTGCGTGAAAGATAGAATGTATAATTCCAACTTACGGAAAGTAGAGATCGGTTTTTGACGGCAAAACCAGCATTTTTGCTTTGATGGATGCCATCGCCTTCTCAAAGTCCCCATTATATGGCTCTTGCTGAGAGACATCACCAATTTGCCAAGTTTGGATCAAGACTAGCAGATTTTCGGGTTCTTTAAAGCATTTGTCAGTTCTCTGAAACAATTGGTTCATTGGGATCAAACAGCACCTTTGGAACAAGCCCATTTCTCCCAGAAGTTGACCATGAAGTCTTCAAGTCCCTTGAAACCCAGCGCGGTTTCATACAACTTGTGTCGATAAAAAGCCTGACTAAATCCCCTGTTTCCAATGTATCAGATAGGGAATAAAAATCAAAAGGTCCACACGGAATTTCTTACCATCCAGCATACACACGGCCCAATGCCTTGAGGCCAACATCCTTCTCTTCAGCTGTCCAATCATGCGCTTCGGCCGTCTCTCTATTGAGACCAATCTCCCCCGATCCCGCAGATCGGCTCTTCTTCACCGCAATCAAGGAGCTTTTGACTCCCTCAAGGAAGACCTGATTGTGCAATGAAGTTTTCGCAGCCGTACAAAAGGGGACCACAATATCCATGAAGTCAGGATACTGCGTTGCCCATTGGAAAGCCTGAGCTCCTCCCATAGACCAACCAATAACGGCGTGCAAATGCGTGATGCCCAGATGTTTGGTAACAAGCTCATACTGCGCCCGCACATTATCGTAAAACGACACCTTTGGGAATGGGCCGGGACTCGGCTGGTTGGATGGAGAGGAGGACTGGCCATTTCCGAACAGGGCTGGAACTATAATGAAGAAATTCTTCGGGTTTAGGAGCTTGTCGTCTCCGATCAACCAGAAGTTATCGGAGAGAGCTGCAGGCAGTATTAGAGTAGTATTGGAGAGAATATAGGATCACATTTAGACATACCTCCGGAAAACCAAGTTGGATAGACGATTGCTGGAAGATTGGGGTCGCCGAATGTCTTGTATGCGATATGAGCATCCTCGATTTTCTGTCCGCTCTGGAGCTCCCAGTCTCCAAGCTTGAAAGTTTCATATTGCTCTTGTGACATTATTGCACGTTTTTTTTTTTACTTCAGAAAAAACAGATGAAATGGGTTTGTGCTTTGGATAAATGGGCGTCCTCCGATTTATAGTTCTACAGTTGGAGATACTTATCAACCCCGCTTTGCCCTCCACACGAGACACGGCTTGAGTCGGAGCTGCTTATCCTCCGTCAATCTGATATCTACAGGTGTGAAACATCTCACTAAAGAGCTTTTAAATCTTCGGTGAGATATATATAGTAAGCATCTCGGATATCCCTACCAAGGTAGAGATTCAAATTGAATTCACTCAGGCACTTTCCGAACCCTGGATTTGGGTAAACCCATGCCGAAGAAATAAATAGGTCCGACCTAGTGTGTCTAACCCCGTCGGGGTTGCGCCGAGCATCTCAATAGCCCAGGAGTACGTTCCCCCTTGGTGGTATCACCGTTGTAGCTAGAGTATATGATAACCAGTCACTCATGGTTTCTAGATTGTGAATCAACCAAAGTTATACAAGCTTATTTACTTCCGGCTGTCTGATTTCAGAGTCTATATACTTTCCTTCAAGATCCTCAATGACAAAGTTCTATCAGCTGAAACAAGAGCCTAATATTCCGGTCTAGGGATCTCTATGGCTTCCGTGGTTCGACCATACGAGATACCACCCAGGCGACTGATAGGCTTAAGAACCTTCAAATCGACGACGTTCCTTTCCTCGTTGATCGCATCATCCCTAACCCAGAACCGAACACCCTCAATAATAGCAAGTACACCCGATTTCTTACCGGGTGTGACCCGACTCTCGAACTCCTTCAACTCAACAAGCTTGCCCTCAATAGAAAGAATGGACTCCTTGACACGGGCAGGCTTCACAACAGAGGTAGGTGCCTGGTGCAGCCCCGAAGTCTCCCACTCGGAGACACCATAAGGGGCATTGATAGCAGTAGAGTTGGCCGCTTCAAGGAAATGCTCCGATATAATGTTGATAACACACTCGCCAGTCTCGTTCAGGTTCTTCAATGAATCCTTGGCTCTCTCCATCGACCCAGCAAAGCCAACCGTGAACAGCGGCGGGTCATGGTTGATGACCTGTGCATAGCTGAATGGAGCGAGGTTTGTGGTCTTTCCATCTGCAGATTGGGTACTGACGAGTGCGATCGGTCGTGGGACCATTCCCGAAATCAGGAACTTATAGTTTGAGGCCACAGGCCGACCCTCCTCGTTGGGGTCAATCTCGACGTGGTCTTTCTTCAGGCTCTCGCCGTTGTCATTCGCGCCATCGCCTTCCTTCCATGTGGGGTTTGGAGACTTGGTGTATGTGACCTCGGTATCGCGGCGAAAATCTGGCCGCGAGGCTTGGGTTTCCTCGAATTCAGGGCGGACTTTTGACATTGTGCGGCTGTGGCTAAAGGGTCGAGTGGGGTGATTGGGTTGGAAGGGTGCGTGGGTTGTTGCGAGGCGATTAGCACTTGGGATTATAAATCAGCTTTGCTGTTCAGTTGTGCATGTGGCCCCGCGTAGCAGACGAGAGAGGGTCACCTCCGTCATGCTCGCTAGAAATTGGGCCCTGGGGGGTAATGAAACTTACTAAGATTGGATCAAGGAGGGCCGAGTATTTCGGTAGATAAATCTAAGTAGACACATGGAGATGATGGAGGTAGTTCTTTCATTTCATGAAATCTTTATCGTATTACTTATCTCGGATTTAAGCTTCGGTTACAGTTTAATGCCACGGATCAATTTGCTGAGACTGTGTATTACCACACACTATGTACCGCGTCATTTCGTAGAAGGTGCGTGGATATAATTTCTCTACCGACGATCGGGCCGACTACGGGGATATCCTCGGGGAACAATTGCCTTGAAGAGATCAAGCCGAGTCACGTCATAGTGCTTCCAAGGTTCCTCTAATCCACCTATTTGTACGGAGTAATAATAACAACAATAATAACTAATTAGTCGGCGTCGCCTGAGGCCTTATCGCGTCTTTTTAGTCTTTTGTTACATATTTCCCCCTTACCAATGGTAGTGGTGTAGCTAGAGGAGCTAAAGTATAGGCGGGAACACGGCTTAGAATATGCAAGATGACTTTCCCATGTAAACCAGTGATAATCCTCTGGTTAGCGAGCCTTAACAGATTATCGTGAGGTTGTGCGTCGTATAGGTCAATAAGACTTGAAAACACTAATACTGGATATATAAATCCCAAGGTTGTTTCCCTCGGCACATAAGAACAAAGACCACAGAACGAAAGTATTTACATTGGAGTTCTTTTTGCTGCTCCATCCAGACTCACCTGGGCAAGAATGACCGATAGGTTTAAACATCCATGGATATGACAAAGAGTAAAAAACTTTCCAAATGGCCGGTTAAATGTCGCCGTCCACCTGACCTTCTGGAAAATGTCCATGTGGACCCTTTTAGTAAATACATACAACATACATACTACGTACATAGGTATGCATACTGTATGTAACTATTTTAGGATCTTTCGGGGAGGGATTTTCCCAAATAGGGAAGCCCAAGCCCTCAAGAATAAGCTTAAATATACCGAAGTAGCAACTCCATTTTGAATTTCCACGAGAATATATGTAGTTTGAGCAAAAAAACTATATGTATTATTCGATATGCCGTGAAAACGTGGGGGAGTGAAATACGGGCCTCAACCCACTCCACTCTCCCCATAAAAGCTCCATCTGCCCCAAAGTCTGGACTCCAGATACTCGGAGTTAATGCGAATCTCAATGTTTTGATTATGTTCTAAATTCTTATTCTACATCGTTTTTTTACTAGTTATATCTCATTGTATATTTTATTCTTTACATAGTTATATGATTGTACTTAAGAAGTAAAGGTATTACAAGTATATGATATACTATAAAACACAAGGATCGCCCCAGGCATACATCCCATGACCCGATTGTCCCGAACGGGGATGGCGTGACCCTGTTTCCGGCGTAGCGGTCAAGGGGGGAGGGGAGGAAAACCGACTTCGATGTTTTCGACAAAACATTACCTTACAAAAATACATCGTGAGATTTCCAAAAGGGTTCGGAAAATGTAAAATGTGCCCTGAGAGTGGCGTAGTACAAGCGAGGGCAATCACGAGGGCTGACTCCCCTCTTCCCCAACTTTTCTCCCTTGAACACTTCACACATACCACTTTTTGATCCCTTATTGGCCTTGAATATTGGCCCCCCCGTTTATCGCCCTCCTAATGAAGTTTTCGCTATCGCGCGTCTTCCCTACTTCATTTCTCCGATCCTCCCCCTCCTCCCTGAACCTTAAAATTCGAGATCCGCGTCGAGAACCCACCGACTCGCTGAAGCTGGAAGTGTGCAGGTGCCCAATGGGTCGAGGTAACGGATAATAATTGGCTCGCTATGAGCCCCCCTTCTCCCAAGAAGAAGAATGGCGGCAATCCTTCTGCTCCTAGACAAATCCGCTTTGTCGCAACCGACGGGCAGCCGCAAACCAAGCGGCGCCGCGTTAATGCCGCGTATGTGGACCTGGGGACCCCATTGAATATAATTTTGTCGGTCAAGACGCTGACGTCACTTTTGGTCTGATATAGTTGTTTAACATGTCGCCGACGCAAGATTCGATGTTCCGGTGAACAACCAGGTAGGAATGCGCAGAATCTCTCGCTTGTGGATACCTTTCTGACGGGGCATATGAGGGAAGTGTGTAAGACTTGTTCCGACTACAAGCATGTCTGCCTCGGATACACCGAATCGACCGCGCACCTGCGAACGCAGTCAGACTCCGCATCTCGAGCGCCGCCGCGCCTTTCGGCTCCAAACGAATTGACAGACCAGAACGCTTCCCGGGCAATCGAAAGCAGCTCCCCCGAACCAGTGCCCACGGCAATACCCAAGGCCGCCGCAGACAAGTCAAGCAAAACGAAAGCGTCCGGATCAAAGGATATCTCTTCTTTTGGGGATACTCCTTCATTCGCGAACAAGGAATTGGATACACAAGCTGTTGGGGATAGTCCAGCGAGTGGTCGTACCTCTGTGAGCTCAGGGAGTCGCACGCATGTCCCGTATTTTCGATACTTCGGCCCTACCGCGATTGTACCGGGATTTAAACAAATGGTCGTGCAAGTTCGAGGTTCTCGCAAGAGTAACCCGTCCGCGTCCTCAGACTCTCCCTCGCCTATTCGGAGCCCCAAACCGTCCGATATACCCACAAGACCCCAGGACACTACCACGGATAGTCGGGACAGTGGCGATGCGAATATCCCATTTTATGACCGAGATGATGCGCTTCCAGTTTCGAATCTTGTATCCCATTTGTGCGAACTCTTCTTCGCCCACCTGGGCTGCAGCTTCCCTTTCATACAACGAGAGAGATTTCTCCAGGACCTGAAAGAGAAAAGAGTTGACACTATGTTGGTAGATGCAGTGTGTTCGCTGGCTGCAAGATTCTCAATACATCCGTCACTTGGCCCTCCACAGGCTCCTCCCATCGATCGCTTGCAGCCGCCACTCGATGAGAAAAAGTGGGATCGTGGTCTGCCTTTCGGCCATCGGGCGATGAGTGCTCTCGTGGATTCACTGCCATGCCCGACTCTTTCTGCCGTCCAAGCCTGCTTATTACTCGCTTATGAACAATTTGGATCGAATCATGACAGTGGACTTTGGATGTACCTTGGAATATCCATTCGCATGGCGCAGGACCTTGGACTGCAGAAGTTGCAAGGGCTCAAACATAATTATGGCAAGACTGGTGTCATGCCGAGTGAAGTGATGACAGGTCATGCTGGGAAACTAAGAGAGGAACAGTATGATGATCTCGATGTGCATCTGACACCCAATACTATGCCACAGCTTTTGGTTGAGGAACGTGCTCGGGAGCGCGAACGGGTCGACTCATTCTGGAGCATCTTTTTTCTAGACCGAGTCATCTCTTCGGGTACCGGGAGACCAGTGACACTACGCGATGAGGATATTGAACTCTGCTTTCCTCTTCAGTCTGAATCCCAGCTACCAAATGGGTGGCCCGCGCCGTTCCCACCGCT